GGATATGGGGCAAAAGAGGGTAATTGAACTCGAGGTACAGATCAACCATGATCTGATAGAATGGCAGAACAGGCTTGAGGGGCCGAAACGCCGACTTCTGTTCCCATGTAACTGCATCTTCAATAGAAGATATATTTTGTTTGCCCACAAAATATAGTCAATTCACTTTACAGTATAATCTGTGAAGCGCTTTGAGATGTCTCGAAAACGTGATGAAGCCCTATATCAAATGCAAGGATTATTATATATTATATATTAATACTAATCCTTGTATTTGTTACAGCGCCTTATCACGCCTCTGAGACGTCTCATAGCGCTTCACAGACTAAACTGTAAAGTGAATTGACTATATATTTTGGGGGCGAAATGCAGCAGCCAATTACACACAGCAGGTTCCCATAAACAGTCATGGATTGAGTGACCAAATGATTTTTTTAAAAAAGGGTTTTGAGGCGTGAACCCTCAATCTCCTGGCTGAGAGGTGAAGGTACATTACCACCTGAGCCAAGGTGACAATCCAAATCTTTTATTCAGTGTCACCGACCCCTCGCAAATGAGTTCTCAGGAGGAAATGAATTCTAGCTATGGGAGAATTTGACTTAATCCCTTCAATATTGAAGCTGGAGACTGTGAGCAGCGCTGGTTACAATGACTGAGCAAAGCTTTCTGTCTCTCTTGCCGCAGCTCCAGATGCCCTAGAATGAGGACATTCCCCAGGGAAATACTCTCCTGCAAGTTGAATAGTGATTTGTTTTTGGTGGAGGAACTGTTTGGACTGGCTAGTCAGTCAGTAACCAGAGGGCACAAATTTGAGCTCATTTGCAAGAGGAGAGGTTAGGAGAGGTTTTTTAATATATATATATATATATATATAAAATACACACACACACAAATACACACAAAACACACACATATACAAACATGCACACCCATAAACACACACACCAATGAGCACTATTAGAACATGGAATGACTTACCAAAAAGGCCAAGTCCATAAAAAGCTCTTAAAATGGAACTAAGAGAAATATTTGGAAAGGAAAGGTTTTTGTGGGGGCTGGGGAATGGGACGTAACAGATAGCTTTGTTACACAGCTCAATGAGCTGAATGCCCCCTTTCTGTCAATGTGGTGAGTCTATGTGATCTGCGATGGAGAGATTCGGTCCCAAGCTCTTTTATGACTGGGTTAAACCAGCAGCTCTGTATCTCGCTGTTCCAACTTTGCTGAATTATTCATGTTTTTTTTTAAAAAAAAGCTGCAGGGACCTTTTTGGGGCGTTTAAGTAATAATAATAATAGTAATCCTTGCAGTTGATGTAGCGCCTTATCACGTTGTTGAGACGTCTCGAAGCGCTTCACAGCATCATACTGTAGATAATAAACACCATAACTTGTGACATTGGCTTCAAGCGATGTGTTCGCTCACACTCGCACATCCATCACCGAGCCGCAGTACCACGATGTGACCGGGTGGAGGTGCCGTGTGGTCCATGAATGAAAAATGCTCAGTGTGAATAAGGCGAACCCAGGGAATGGAAGAGCTTGTGGTTTATTTTTTTTGTACCCTTGTCACGTCAAAATGCCCGGAAGCTCTCGGTGAGCAATTACTGTCAAACGTTGGGGACCTTCGTAAGCAGCAAACACAGCAGCCATTCGGCTCAGGAATGGAAAGGATCCCTCAATCCCTGCGCTTTTTTTGACACGGCGCCTTATCACGTCTTCGAGACGTCTCAAAGCGCTTCACGGCATATACTGTAAAAGCGAATTGACTGTATATTTTGTGGGCGAAGCACAGCCGAGAGGTGAATGTGTAATTAATTTGGATTGTCAGCCAGGACACCCAGAGAACTAAACCCACTTCTTTTTTCTAATAGTGTCGCAGGATCTTTAGTGTGAAGGATGGCGCTATGGGGAGGGTTTGATGTGGATGGTAGGGATGGTGATGGGTATCTGTGTGGTCGCCCTTTGATAAAGGCTGTGATTTGTGTTGGCAAAGGGAAACTAGTCGATGGCTGGAAGCGTTGCTGTGGAAACGGTTTTGGTTATAGCAACAGATTTAAGTAGCCTGTGTTGTTCCCATAGCAACTGTGTCGGATGACTGGTATCCTGGAGGACAGTGAGGTTTTACAGCTCACCACCCAGTCCCATCTGATAAGAAGAATTAGGCTTATAACTATCCCGACGGTGGCACCCTTCACATTGGGAGGACACCTCAAGGCATTTAATTGGGTTTTAGTGTAAACTGTGTTGTTGTAGGTGTACACAGCGGCCAATTACAGAATCTTTTGGACGTGTGGAACTATTTCAGTGAACCGCAGACAGTAAAACAATCTACACTTCTGAATTGCACAGGACAGTCTGGTATTTTTATGCGTGAATCCTTTAATATAGAGACTATGTACAATTTGTCTTTAATAACCTTTACAGTTCTTCGGCCCATTGCTTTGGCTCTTGCCAACCTGCGCCTAATACTTTCCGGGATTAGGTGAGCAGGATGCTTCCCTCCAGGGAAAGAGAGCATTCCACTCCAATAATCCATCTCTGGAATTCCCATGTGTAGGTGGGAGGCATGGAATTCTCAGCCAGGTGGATACTCTTAAGCAACGGTGATGGGTTTCCGTATGTGTCAGACACCCGGCTGAACCCCCACCCCACCCCAGAAAAAAGTTTTTGTCTGAATCCTTTAATATACAGAGACTATGTACAACTTGTCTTAATAATCCTGACAGTTCTTCAGTCAGCAGCCACCATCGTTCTCATCTTAACCTTGTTCCAGTCTCCCATCAGTAAAGTGATCCCATGTCACTGAATACACTTCGAAACCCTGGTGTATGTCATTGAGGACTATGTGGTTGACCATGTGGTGAACATGGATGATACTGGGGTAATGGAGTGAGAGCTTAGAGACTTGAGAGACGTGAACAGCATTGAGCAGATTATAGGGACAGATGTGGACTGACTTTTGGGAATGCTCCCAGCACATTTGTGTTCATTACCACAATTAACTGAGGCATCCAAATTCCTCCCCCCAGCCTCACTGATGTGAAAGGCACGGTACATGACTGTTTGTGAGGCTCTGCTGTGCTCAATTGGCTGCTGTGTTTCACCCACAAAATATAGTCAATTCACTTTACAGTATGTTCTGTGAAGCACTTTGAGACATCTAAATGACATAAGGCGCTATATCAAATACAAGTATTATATACAAATGAAATTTGTTGTTGTTCTCTGGTCAGAGTGAGGGCAAGTGTTGTCCATAGAGGTGAGCTGGTGGAGATGTATTTTTTTTTGCTGGGCTGGGGAGTGTGTGTGTGTGGTTTTCCTTTGAACTGTTGGTGGTTTGAGGTGGGGACGTGCATTGAATAGGAGGCAGGTTTGGGTTCCTCTGAAGATGAGTACGAAGATGAGGACGTCCTCTCGATATGAAAGGTGGCGCACAAGTGTATTTTGTCGCTGTTGTTATCCCAAGCAAACCTCGGTGATCTGAATAAAAAGCTCCAGTGCTGCAACGTTGGCTGATTTTAGAAATGTTTGCAAAACTGTCAGCATCTCTTATTAATAATTTGACATCCTAATACAGTGCTACTGACTACACGGTCGATCACATTTACATTAAAATGTCTATAGTGACAAAAACATTTGAGGTTTAACAAGTTGAATGCACGTTGATTTAACACAATGCAATATATTAGTTTGGTTTCTATTAAATATCCGGCTGTTTAAATTCTTCCTCTATCAAATTCTTGTTACTGCTGTAAGGTGTGTTTGTGATTATGTAGGTTTGTCCCATTTCTCCCCCCCCACCCCTCCCACCGGCCTCTCCTCAGATCTGAAGTGCTCTGGGACACTACCCCACGTGAAGGGCACTATATACAAGTACACGGAATCTCCTCTGTTAACAGATGCAAGTCAAGTGACCAAGTGGTACACTAGCAAACGCCTCCAGGTGATGTATATCCTAGCAACCAGCAACAGCAACTTGACTGCCATATCCCGGAGACCAGCTGGAGTTGGTACAGTATCTACAGTAGCCGAGCAACCACATTTTTTTGATGGCATCTGTGTCTGTCATAGCAACCAGTTCACACAGAATCTGTGCAATACATCTCCGCCCACACCATCCCTGTGGCAAGCACCACTTCCTGACAGCTTTCTTTGAGTTTATTAAAAAAAAGAAATCAGTTAACACTTAATCTACGAACCTTCTTAACCGAGACTCTAAAACGTTTTGCAGAGGCATTTAAACCTGTTGCGGACTGACTGTGTAAATGGCAGTTTCCACTCGGGGAAAGAGGAGTAAGTGACTGAGATACACAGAGCAGCAATGTCCTGGGCTGGTTGGTCACAGGTCCCATAGCAGCCACAATCAGGTGGAATTCCTGCTGTTGGCTGGTGTATGTTTGTGAGTGTGTGTCCCTTTACCCCTAGTGAGGGCAGATTCAATTGATCCCTAAGCCCACTCCCACCCTGCATGGTCAAATACCCTGCTGACACTCACAGTCAAGGCTCTCACAATAATCCTGGTCAGTTGGGTGAGTTTCCAAAGTTGACTCAATATCGATGGGGGCTAAGAACAACATCTTCTGGAGAGGAGGGGAGAAAATTGTCTGTGGGGTGGGGACGAGGAGAGGGGGTGTTTTCTATTGCCATTTGTGCTGTAGACACCCCAAAGGTTGGTGGCCTCACAGTGTTCTACATATGGCTAGTATTAATTAATTCATCAATTAATAATAGGACAACCTTCAGCTTCTTGTGTGTGTGTGTTAATGTGTGTTTTATATACAATGAGTGATTACGTAAAACCCGAACATTGCCAGGGTTGAAATGTGCTAAAAGTTGTCCTGGGATCACCTGCCTCTCTACCCCACCCTCTGCCCAACTCCTCTTCCTCTCTAATCACTTGCCCCACCCCCCCGCCGCCATATCTTGGTCCCCTCCCCCTCCGCTCACAAAAAACCCATCCCACCTGGTCCAACAATAAGTATAAAACAGGGTCCAGGGGATGTAGTGCGTACAGAGGCTGGGGGAAGTGAGCTCAGCAGGGTGAGGAGGAGATGATGTTGTAATCTGGGCATTTGAGGAGGGCCGGGTAGCTGGTGTTCATCTGCAGTGAAGCTTCGCTGGAAATGTCTGAGGGGCTTCGTCCCCGCGGCCAGCCCTCCGGGTGCAGGAACTGCCCGGAGTAGTCGGAGCAGTTGCTGAGTCGGGGTCTGTAAAAGTTGGGGTGCGGGCGGTAGATCTCCTCCGCCGTGTATCTCTTCATGAAGAGGTACACGGACATCACGCCAGCGCTCTGCCAGAGGGGACAAGAGAGGGCAAAACGTTTAGCTTTCAGTCTCGTTCAGCGGCTAGGGTGGTCCGAGCTGGACTAGCGGTGGGAAAGCTGGCCAGAGAGTGCCCTCAATGGCAAGTTATGCAGTTTTATCATAATAATAATCCTTTGGTTTGACACGGCCGAGACTGGGGATGGTTACCTCTGTCAGCAGGAATGATATGGCCGAGAAGGCAAAAGACCATCCGTACTGGTAGTGAAAATAGCCGTCCACCTCCTTGGTTCTGCTCAGGATCTCGTCGTTAATGTTAGATATGTACAGTACCAGCCCCACCACCAGAGACAGGCCTGACAGAGAGAAGGGGGAGAGAGAGGGAGGGAGAGAGGAATTATTATAATGCTCACATCAAGTAACCTTCACCGCACGTCACCAAGGTATCAAGACCTTCCTCTTTTACCATACCTCCGGTCATCTTCCCTCTTCCACCCCTTTCTGATCCCAGGCAGCAGCTTGGGTGCAAACCCCTCTTTGTCCAACACCTGGGGACATCCGTCCTCCCAACGTGAAAGGCACTGAGTTGTTGTTAGTGTTGTTGTCAGTGTTTTGCCAGGGCTCCATGTGGTGTGAGCTTAACCGGCTGACCTGTGGCGAGGTGGCTTACCGGACAAGATGAAGAAAATTCCAGAAACGAAGGCCAGGATTGTCTGGTGAGGCCGGATGTGTCCGATGTTGTTCAGCACGAAGCCAATGAACATGAAGAACAGACTGACCAGCGGGAAGGGGGTTGCCGAGCGGATCATTTCTGTGGCAACAAAAGGGTTTTCAGGCCGTGAGTCAGTCACCCCACCATCAGCCTCCGCCTCGCTTCAGCTGCTACAAGGGCTGGGCAGGACCGTGCGTGAGCCTAAGCATAGCCGCCACTCCTGACCCTCCCCTCCCCTCCCCGCGCACACTGGACCTCCTGGAGCTCAGTGGTTAGAGCCTTGCCTCGCACTATTTGTGTTTGATTCCCAGCCAGGGCGAAACATTGGGCAAGATTCCTTACTCCACACACACGCCTCTGTTTACCAGCAGTAAGCAGGAACCCAGTTGTTAATCGATTGGCGGATTGCTTTCTGGGGGGTAATAATCCCTTCCACAAAAGAATATTTGGTCACTCAATCCACGACCTGTGATCCCCTCACTCCCCTCACCCGAAACGCAGACTGATCAGGGAAGTGGGGTTTGACTTGTCAACCTTCCGACCCAGAAGTCAGGGGACAAGTGTTACAGTCTGAGCCAGGGACCCCCTCTCCCCTTCCACCACCCCTCACCCCAGATAGAGATCAGCGAATGCATACTAACTTAAAACGCTGATGGTGGATTCGGATGTCAGTTGGACACTGGAGGGCATGATGTACTCAATGGTGAAACAGCGGCCATGCTCCTTCCCTGTGGGTCAGGCAACGAGAGAGTGTGAGTGAGAGCCAGCGAGAGCACGACAGAACGTGAGAGCGAGAGCCAACGAGAGAGAAAAGATGGAGTGAGAGCGAGAGACAGCAAGCGAGATCCTTTGTACACCGGGTGATATGGAATGGGGGGGTGGGGGGGAGGGAGGAAGAGGTGTTGATATGGGGGGAAGTGATATGGGGGAGGAAGACGAGCTGAGATACCTGTCAGGAAGCAGACCCTCCAGAGGCCGGAGTGCAGGGACATCCGGATGTTGGCCGTCATGTTCTGGGGGGAGATGGTGCCCTCCTCCAGGTACAGCCAGTAATCGGTGCTGACAGCCACACCCAGCAGCCCCAGCCCACACACCGCAAACACACTGCTCAGCAGGGTCAGCGCCTTCCGGCCGCATGTCTGGATCCCACACAACATCAGCCCACTTCCCGGGAGCCTGGGAGAGAGAGAAAAAGAATGCATGAGAGAGAGAGAGAGTGCGTGAGAGAGGGCGAGACACTGTGTGAGAGGGGGGTGTGAGAGGGGGGTGCATATGAAAGAAGGGGGTGTGAGAGAGAGAGAGAGAGAACAGAGAATGTGTGTGAGTTTGTGAGTGAGACAGCGTCAAAAAACTAACATTAACTTTGAGGTTGTTTTTTTCTTAACCGTTTCTAGATCAAAACAGAACTCTGCTGAATGAGTGAGTGAGTGAGTGAATGAGTGAGTGTAGGCTTGAGTGGAGGGAGTGAGTGACTGAATGAGTAACTGGGACACCACTTACCTGCACTTCAACCGCGTGTGTGTGTGTGTGATGGCAGGTCAGTTACAGCCTTGGATGGGGAGGGATGAATCGTCAGCAAGCTGCTGAGAGAAATCAGGAATACCTTAACACCCAATAGCCACAGGATGTCTTATTCATCAGCTTTAAAAAAAAGAGCAGCATTAAAGGGGAGGTTAGAAACATTGTCTTGATACGAATTCTGTTAATCCTTGCGCTTGGTCTGCAGCCTATAACATTAATACACCTGGAAGAGTTTCACAGACACTTGCTGTCGAGTTTGGGTTTCTAAACCCTGTCACTCTGCCCCAGCGAGAACGAGTGTGACTAAGCTGCTGAAATCGGTTTGCCTTGAAACGCTGTAATGCTCCCGATCGCAAACAACAAACCCCAGTAATTCCAATCAGCCTGCGGGGCGATCAATCAAGCTCCATCAAACGAGATGAGCACCCATCCCTCGCGGCGAGTGAGGGAGCGAATGGATGCAGTACAGCGATTGACCAAACCCCTCGTCCAGTTTGGTGTCTGTTTATTTTAACATTAAAAAAAAAGTTTAAAAAACGAGTTGGATTCAGTCGATTCATTTCCTTAAATCCACGTTGCTGCACCCAACAGGCAGTGAAATCCTCTTTAATCCTACACTGTGAGCCGCACGCCTACACGGTTGGAAACATCAGTAGAGAGAGGAGCAGGGAAAGAGAACATTTTTCTAAGCCCCTCGACACGTCTCAAAGTGTTTTTGCAGTAACTGCTGCCCGAGTGCAAATGTGGCATAAGGAACATAGGAGTTGTTAGACAAAGAGTCCATCTCGTTCGCCTTCTAACATCCTAGTAGTCGCATGCTACAGTAATGGAGATGTTGGTAATTAATACTGTATGGATTAGTCTACAACAGAGCGGGAAGCTCGGATCCAATGGGATCTAAACAAGGACTCGCCAACAGTCACGAGGTCAATGAACCTTCTGGAGGTTTATTGGCCAGACACTGGGAGGAACTCGCTTCTCTTTACATACCATTCGTGCCTTGGGATCTTTACGCCCACCTGCCACACCGGGCAGATGGGCCTCTGTTTGACGTCACTAAATTTGAGAGGGATTGTGCTGGGTGACTCAGAGCTTGGATTTGAACGCGGAGCGATGGTGGGAGGAAGGAAATACTTAAAGAAGTGGAGGTTCCAAAGCCTTGACGTCACGGGATATAACAAGTTAGTGTGGCGGGCGGCCAGGCAGAGAAAGGAGACCTGATTTGAACATGAGTGGAGGGGGCAGAGGGAAAGAGAAGGAAGGTGTATTTTTGGAGTGTAGGTAGATGATAAAAATGGAGGTTTAGAGATGCAATTAGTTACACTCCTCCGTTCTGTGAGGGCTGAACCAGTCTCTACTGCTGCTAACACTGGGAACCCTTTGGGAACAGATCTGAACCAGGGGACTGTAATCAGTCCATCGCCACAAGGGGGAGGGGGGAGAGGGGGAAGGAAGGGGACATTTTAGCTACAGTTAAACCAAATGGCTTTTGAGTTGCTGAACACCATCACCAACAAATTGTATTTGTATAGCGCCTTTCACGTCGGGAGGACATCCCAAGGCGCTGTACACTGTTGGGTGTGAGCTTTGGCCGTTTGCTCCCCATCAATGATATCGAAAACTAGTTGGTTGAGTTTGTATTGACAGCAGCTTTACCCAGCCTTTTCAATGTACCCAACAGATCTGTGAAGCAATTTATAATTGAATTATCGAGCTGTGGGCATGAGGCAGTGCTGGGTAATCAGTGAGTGCTCTAGCTGATCAATACACTATAAACAGGGAGTTACATTTACAGCACCGCACAGCACTGACACACTAACTCCAACCTTAGAGAGAATCAGCTTTCAATCTGGTTCATGAAATGAGTCACTCCGACAGCTGTGGGTTCAACCTGACTGAATCAAGTTCACCCGGGGAAACTAGAATAACTCTATAACGCTTGCATTTGATATAGCGCCTTATCACGTTGTTCAGATGTTCCAACAGAATATATTGTAAAGAATATATATTATATATATTTTAAATATATACTATATAAATTTATATACATTATATATAAAGACTTGAGAGTGACACGAGGTGTCCCGCAAACAGTCGTGGATTGAATGACCACATTTTTATCGAGGGATTGTTAGCCCCGGAAAGCCTAACAACCAGGTTCCTGCTCACTGTTTGGTAAGTGTGTGGAGTAAGGAAACTTGCCTAAGGTTTCACCCCACCCAGGAATCGAATCCTGAACACAGCTAAACACTCTCCCCTTCACTGAGCGAGCTGCTTTTATAATGTATTGCTATTAATTTGAGTTTGATGGTAGTGCTGGCTGCATTGTCGGAGGTGCTGTACTGCAGACGAGATGTTAAACTGTCTGTTTATTGAGGTGGACGTTGAAAATCCCATGGTATTACTTGAAAAGAGAAGGGAGCTTTTTTTCTTCCCCCTTTCTTCCCCCTATTAGAGAATAACAATAATATTAATCCTTGCATTTGATATAGCACCTAATAATAATCCCTCAAAAAAAATAATAAATTGGTCATTTCAATCCACGACTATTTGTGGGGCACTGCTGTACGCAATTGGCCGCCGCGTTTCGCCCTCAAATATACAGTCAATTCACTTTACAGTCTATTCTGTGAAGCGCTTTGAGACATCGAGAAGACGTGAAAAGCATTATATCAAATGCAAGGATTATCATAATTATTATTATCATGTCTTCGAGACAACAACTTGCAATTATATAGCGCCTCTCACGCAGGATAGGGTCCCAGAGCGCTTGACGTCTCAAAGAGCTTCACGGAATATACTGTAATGTGAATGGACTGTAAATTTTGTGGATGCTATAACAACAACAACACTGTCCTCTGTTGTTGTTACAACAAAACATGGGGTGAGCTTCACACAAAAAAAACCAACCCATTTGTTTTGGAAAGTTGTGCCAATAGGACATGAATTGATTTTTTTGCAGCAAGTTAAGTGACAGCTTGTGACAGAACATGTTAAGTGGAGTGCTCTCTTTTGTAGATAATGATTTATGAATTGGGTGGTGCTGGGTGATGGGGGAGAGTTAGAGTTTAAGGGGAGAGAGTCCTGCCAATACAGGAGCAGGAGGCCATTCAGCCCACTCGGTCTGTTCCAGCATTTTAGCAGATCTTTAATTCCCAATTTCCCCGCCCTTTCCCCATATCCCTGAACACCTCTACTCCCTGGAATACATATCTCATAGACATTCAATGGCGCACGGAGGGGGATGGGGAGAAATTAAACATGGGAATCAAACACAATCTTCAATTAGGAAAACAGCAGAGAGAAGAAATTCCAGCTAGACGTAGCCTGCAAGACCCTGAGGTCTTAAAAATTTAAGATGGCACAAAATTATGGTATAATTCCAGCTTTACATTGTAAAACCACACAGATCTTGCTGGCTAAGACCGGGTGGAATTTCAAGTCACCCACTTGGCAAATTAACTTTATAGAACCATAGAATCTTACAGCACAGAAGGAGGCCATTTGGCCCATCGTGCCTGTGCCAGCTCTTTGAGAGAGCTACCGACTCTTCCCAATCCCCCGCTCTTTCCCCATAGCCCTGCAAATGTTTCCTTTTCAAGTACATATCCAATTCCCTTTTGAAAGTTACTGTTGAATCTGCTTCCACCATCCTTTCAGACAGTGCGTTCCAGACCGTAACAACTCGCTGCGTAAAAGAAGCCTTCTCTGGTTATTTGCAATATCTTCAATCTTTATCCTCTGGTGAGGATTTAAACAGTCGTCCACAGAAAGGGCCAGTGGGTGGGCATGTGTGTGAGAGAGATAGAAAGAGAGCTGGAGAGTTAGGATCTGGGTCAAGGTTGTGTCGCGGAAAATGAGCTTGAGGGCAAATGGAAATGTTTATGGATTTGTGTTTGTTGTTGTAACGTCTGGATCGGAAGATGATGGCACTTTCTCACTTTTGTCACCCGGCGTTAACATCAAATGCTCCCAGGTTAGAGACCGAGTGAGTGTGAGCACAGTGACGGGTTTCCGCATTGTGTCAGACACCCGGCTAACCCCCCAAAAAAATAATAATTATTGTGCCTACTGTTATTCCCTGGGTTTCTGCCCAGGGAGGAGAATGTGGGCAACTTAATGGCGTTTAACATATGGAATTTCAAAGCTCCATCTGCCGCATTCTACTTACACTGAAACACTCGAAAGTTACATTGTGCAACAGGGAGTAGCTGTGAGGACCGACGTCTCTTATTAAAAAAACAATCCCAGTAAAATTCCGTGGCATTTCATTAAAAAATAAATAGTGTTTTCTTTTGTAAACCACATCAATAATATCTCAGTATACAGTTTAGGACACAACCTGTGCATTGAACTGCCAGGGTGGGCGGAAGGCAAACTGGATGGCCCTTGGTGTTCTTTCGCCTAGTAAATTCTTATGTTCTTATTTGTTTTGTCCCGATCATTTGGGTTTCAAAAAAATCTCTGACTAATATTGTTCTGTCTATTTATAGCCGGAGGCACACTGTGTGCAATTTGCAAACACATTGCCAATTAAGACAATGCAGTGGGAGAGCATCGCACCAGGTTATCTATCAAAAAAAACACTTTTTATGTGGGAACAGCAAAGAAATCTAATTTGAATGCAAATTAAATGCAATGTTCACCATACAGTACAAACAACATTTTTTTTTGAGTGTGGCTTTATTTTTTTTAAGACCAGCGACTCTTGTTACGATGAAATATGAAACGTGTGGTTTTTAAACCTCCCTTTCCAATTTATTTGATTGAATAATTTCCTTCGAGCAACAAGCCCTAATGACAACATCAGAGGTGCTGTCTGACTCAGACATGCAGAGGGGAGCCGTCAATCATCACACAGCCTGGTAAACAGCGAGCTGATAGAGTGGCCGTCAGTTAATGAAAGTATTCAAAATAGCTTGCGTTTCCACAGCACCTACAGTGCAAAGTAATATCTCAAGGATTTTAGGCGGACGGCGGACGGGGTGGGGGGTGACTGTAAGAAAGGACTCTGGCTGCTTGTCCACCCTACCCATTGGGCTTTGGCTTGTGGGGTTAACAGGAGCTGCCCCCAGTGACTGGTCTGTCCTTCCAGGTCCTGCCGATGAGCCAGGCTGTGCTGGGCTGTCATCAGCAGTGCCCTGGAGTACTACGGACCCGCAAGGCTCAGGAACCAGCGTAGAGACTGTCACAGAGGGTTGCCTTGATTCTGACATTCCTTTGCCAAACATTTCGCTTTGAAGCCAGTTCAGCTCCAAAGAAACCCTGCTCCCCACTACCCCCACCCCCCCTCCCTCCCTCCCTCACCAAGGAGGATAGAATGCATGGGGAAGGGGCAGGTTTTCAGGAGGCTTTTAAAGACAGAAAGATCTTAGGACAGAAAGATGTTAAGGTTTTTTTTAAAGAAAGACAACAAGGCATCTCTCAGAGACAATGGTGCTCTGTATCGTCCACACAGCAGCGCCAATGCTCAGCACTCAATAGTTTAATGTGGATTATTATAAATTAAATCAATTTTGTAGCTCAATTTCTGAAGAAACAACCAACCGTTATTAGCTCAGACTCTGACTACAGCTGGTGTGATGAGATCAGCGGTGACAAGTCACAGTGGTTAGTGTAATAGGATTGAGACCTTTTGTTATTCTAATTCATCGTACTTTGTTATGATCTGAAATGATTCTTTAAGAAAAAAATTCCTGTTCCCAAAGAACAGCAAGTGATCTGATAACAAACCACCAGGTTATCTCTCAGCATTAACTTCTTCCCTTCTGCTCCCACACGTATCTCACTACAAGTTCCCAGTACTTTACTGATGTTGGGAGATGGAAAGTTGACGTGAACAAATTGCTCGTTCCGCACTCTGTTACAGCTCACCCCCGAGGCCTCTAGGCTTCTTATAAACACTATCCTTAACATTCACATTGGGACTTTGAAATGTGACAGCTCCCGCGAAGCCTACAAGCCAAAGCCCTCATGGGGAGGGTGTCCTCGCTGGACAAGCAGCGAGAAAGCTTGCCAGACAGTGCTATCAATGGCAAGCTATGCGGTTTTAGCTGGTTAGACTCCAGCAGATACCCCAACGCACGCTCTGGGGTCCCCAAGCCTTGGCTCCTGCCAACTTGAGCCTAATACTTTCCGGAATTAGGTCAGCAGGGAGAGAGAGCGCAGTCCATTCCAATAAATATCTCCGAGATTTCCATGTGGAGGTGGGATGCATGGAATTCTCAGCTTGGTTTGGATACTCTTAAGCACATGATGGGTTTCCGCATGTGTCAGACACCCGTCTCCACCGTCATCCCCAAAAAAGCAACATCAAACTGAGGTCCCTCTCTGCCTGTTCAGGTGGACTTTAAAGATCCCAACATGGGAATTACTCTCTTGAGTGTAAGTGAGCACAGCTCTGCGTTTTAACCTCACGAGTCCTGTTATTTACAGAAACACTGCAGACATGGCTCCCTCACTCACCCCCACACCCCACCCTGCAATCTTCACACATTCATGCCACCCATTCGCTTCGCCCACAAGATACACAGTCACTCCACTTTGCAGTATGTTCTGTGAAGCACTCTGAGACGTCTCAACGACATGATGCGGCGCTACATCAAATGCACGGATTATTATCATTTCATCCGCTCTTTCACTTTGACTCTTAAGTATCTCCACTTGATTATTTCAGTCCACATTGGAAAGGAAGGAATGTGAGGTGAGGGCGGCGGGGAGAGGATTATAAATTATAATAAGCGTCAAAATCTCACACAGAATGTGCGCCAGGCTGCTCTCTGCTCGTGTGCCAGCCTCACTAACTTGTTGGCTTGCAAACTTGTGTTGACGCTGTGATGTTTGGGCTGTCGCTTACCTAACCCTGAGCTGCTCACTGCTGTCACCCCAACCCCCAGACCCCAAACCTCAAACCCCCACCCCATCCCCGGCCTGATTGCAAACACTCTCTGTGTATTTGAGACGTTGGCAGTCAGGCTGCTGTATGTGTGAAGAACCTACAAATAATCACACCAGCTTCACACACAAACTGTCACAGGCTACGGGTGCGTGTGTGTGTGTGGGGGGAGAGTGTCTCTACATGTCGGCGAACATGAGTGTCAAACACATACTTTCACATGGCAAAAATGATCCCCCCCCCCCGCCCAAAAAAAGCCCTCCTAAAATCTCATCTCCTGGTCTTTGTTGGAATGCTTTAACTGTTTTTTTTTGTCGATCTGACTCTCTCTCACTTCTTTCAAAATCCTCCTCCAAAAATAATGTTTTCCTCTACGGCAAAAGGCTTTGCACCTATACACATTGCTTCTGTAACTATTGTCGGGCTGTGTGTTAGCAGGAGCAAAGAGAGTTGGGGGTGGGGGTGAGAAGATTAGGCTGGTGGGTGGATTTAACAGTCTGGTCACGTCCTGACAGCAATGGAGTAAAGTGTGGGGGAAACTGAGGAACTCTCTACACTACACATTGCTCTATTCTATTCCACCCTCTTTCCACGTTCTCAGTCGCGGTGACCAACAGTATTTCATGCTGGTTGTTTTATGTGTGGACACTCAAGCGTCTCAGTTTAGTTTGGATGTTCGTCTCTGTGGCCAGGACAGGATTTGAGCCGCTTGAATAAATATTAAATCAAATAATATTTATATTATTATATCATATTTGTAGTTCTATTTATTTATTATATATAGATATTATATTTGTCTAATATATTTAATAGGTACAAATACACTGAATTTATATATTTACATTTTGGGATTAAAAATATAAATATTCTATCAATATAAAACCACACGTCGAATCACATTCAGTACAGAGGAAATCAAACCCATTAAATAGGTACCATTCAATTAATTTTGCTTAATTGTAGGAGTCCTGTAGCTCAGTGTTCAGAGCACTCGCCTTGCAAGCGGGACACCTGGGTTCAATTCCAGGCAGAGGGCGAAACCTTGGACAAGTTTCCTTACTCCACACACAGCCTAATAATAATCCCTCCAAAACAATACTGATTGCCGCGTTTCGCCTACAAATATACGGTCAGTTCACTTTACAGTCTATTCGGTGAAGCGCTTTGAGACGTCTAACCCAACGTCTATAATAATATTAATAATAATCCTCGCAGGTGATGTAGCGTCTTAAAAGTATTGCCCCCAAGGGTGTGGGGAGCTGCTGGCGCGGTGTGTGTGGGGGTGGGGAAGCCCCCAGGGTTTGGGGGGTGTGGGGGGGGGGTTGAACCCAGAGCTAAACTCAGAGGGACCCCCAATCCGATTAAAAGGCGTAGCGAAAGTTTGGTACTTTCTTCCCATTTCCGAGCGCGGCCCGCGGGCCGCCCAGTGAGCCAAGCGGAGACAGGTGGCAATTGGAGCTCCTTATAAACCCCCCCTCCCCCCCCCCCAAAAAAAAATTACCAGAGTTTCGCGAAACATTTCTTTTCCTTTGTGTTTCTCCTTTTAATGACCCCCCCTTTCCCCTCCCCACCCAACACCACAATTCAAACCCTTTTATTTCTTTGCCTTTCTCCCCTTTTTGCCCATATTTACCCCCAAAAAGACACTCCACCAATATCACCTGCGAAACCTGGTTATCTTTCTTACTGTGATTTCATCTCAAATATAAAAACAGTGTGAAATTAAAAACAGTGGGTGGATGTGGGTGGAGAGGGAGGAGGAAATTTCCCTGAACTCTTCCTTAACCTGTATTTAAAACACACACGAATCCTATTAACGCGCGTGGAATAAATAAGTATTTATTACTGTGGTTTCTTACCTGTCCTCCACAGTATCACTTGCAACGATGTCTCAGCACCATCCTGGAGGGGGGGGGGGGTTGGGGTCTGTGGGGGTGCAGGAGGGGTAAAGGGGGAAAGAGGAGGGGAGAGGAGGGTAAGAGAGGCTTTTGTCGGGGAACCTCAGCAGAGTTTGGTCCTCTGTTTGCTGACTGCGGAGCAAGTGATGGAGAGACCCAGAGAGAGAGAGAGAGACACAGAGAGAGAAGGATGGGCGGTGGCACATGATGCTGAACACACGTGTCTCCATCACTCCCTCCCTCTCTCCCTCCCTCTCCTTCTCTCCCTCCCTCTCCTTCTCTCCCTCCCTCTCCTTCCCTCCCTTGTGGGTGGTGGCTGGAGATCCAGGGAGAGCTGCAGTCTCTCTCCAAATCAAGAGGAACAGAAATAATAGCCATAATCATCCTCGCAGCCTGATGCAGCGCCTCGTCACGCCTTCGAGACGCCTCAAGGCGCTTCGCGCAACATACTGCGCAGCGAATTGACTGGACATTTTGTGGGCGAAACGCGGCAGCCAATTCCGCACAGCGGCGTCCCACAAACAGTTGTGGATTGAGTGACCAGATTATTATTATTATTATTATTTTTTGAAGGGTTTATTACCCCCGGAAAAGCGATCCGCCAATCGACTAACAGCCGGTTCCTACTTACTGCCGAGTAAATGAGGCGTGTGGAATAAGGAAACTTGACTTAATGTTTCACCCCGACCGGGAATCGAACCCAGGTCCTTTCGCCTGCGGGGTGAGCATACCAACCACTACGCTACCGGACTCCATTAGACGTAACGGCTCTTACCAACCAGCGTCTAATAATATACAGTCTTTTGTAGGGGTTTCGCCTACAAAATGTACAATCAATTCACTTACAGTACATTCTGTGAAGTGCTTTGAGACGTCTCGAAGACGTGATAAGGTGCTGCATCAAATACTTTCAGCTCCTGTTAACCCTGCAAGCCCCAAGCCCTAACAGGTAGGGTGGTCCTAGCTGGACAAACAGTGGGAAAGCTTGCCAGACATTGCTCTCAATGGTAAGCTATGCAGTTTTAGTTGGTTAGACTCCAGCAGTTACCCTAACGCACACTTTGGGGTCCCCAAGCCTTGGCTCTTGCCAACCTGTGCCTAATACTTTCTGGAATTAGGAAAGCAGGATGCATCCCTCCAAGGAGAGAGTGTTCCAATGCATTTGGGGGTTTATAACGCATTCCAACAATCTATCTCTGGAATTTTCACGTTGTAGGTCGGGTGCATGGAAATCTCAGTTTGGTTTGGAAATTCTTAAGTGCACAGTGATGCGTTTCTGCATGTGTCAGACACTAAAATAAACTCCTCTGCTTCCAAATGTAGTTTTACGGGGTCTACCTGATGCAGGAAAGTATGTCGACCTGGTTTCCTCCACGCCATCTATCTCCTGTCTCATGAATGTTATTGATTTGTGCTTCAGTCGCACGAGCATAAAGGACATTGGGATATTAATCACTTGTGAATGTTCCTATAGTAACATGGGGAATGTGGTGGCTTTGAATTCCGCTACACTACCTCCCTAATGCCAAAAAACACACATACATACACACACACACACACACTGCAACGGTTTCTCATTTTAACTGCGGCTATTTTTAATTTGTTTAAAAGTAAACTGGGCTATAAATATGGATTTGACTGATGTAAGTATGAGGTCATGTGCTGTGCTGTGCTGTGGGGTGAGGGATGTTCACAGATCTTGCGTTTTTCCTTTTCAGTACAAATAAAATGAGTTTAAATTAACTTTGCTGTGTAATTAGAGGCTGGTGGTGACACATTCTGAATCGGTTGCTCATTCCCTCGGGCCTCTTTGTACTCTGCGTCCCCGTGCTGTGATTCCCTGGTGTGAGGCATCAGTTATAGAGAGAGATCTGTCGTGTCTCCCTCGCCTTTGGACAACCTTTTGTACCTGTGATGTACAAGGTGCTGGGTTTCCAGTGTGAGAAAATCACCACTTCCTGAACCATCTTCCCATCTTCGCCTTTTGATGCATCGATCATTAAACTTCAGTCGATGCCCACCCCCATTAAAATTGATGAATCATAGCTTATTTTAATAGATGCCTTTCTTTTTCTCTCCCTGGTTCAATTTTGCTAAAGCAAATGCTCATTTTAACTCGTCCGGTTATTTTCAATTGGCCATAAGGGTTTTGTTTTAACTTGAAAGGCAAGCTGTGGAAACGCAAGCTGTTGTACTGGAAAGGCATAAGAGACCTGAAATTCTGGCTAGTCTCAGCCTGCGAGGCGTTGTTAGCCTCTGAAGTGTCTGCCTGAAGCAGTGAGACTCAAAAGTGAGGCATCCTATCAGCCTCTGCATCAAAACTGTGAGGTTAGTGTAGAGATTAACACAGAACTCGGAACCACTGAAAAGTTTTGCATGAATTCACAAACACAGTGACTCCACTTTACACTATATTTTGTGAAAGCGCTCTGGGACGTCCTCTGGATGTAAGGATTATTCCTATTATCATGTCTGTCATTGGTTCATGCATTGCTCTCGATATAAACCGAAGAGTTTATGAAACAGGGAAAATCGTCACTGGATACGTTCTAATATCAGAATAAGAAAATTATCTCTAACTTTGCGCTTATTTCACTAATGGAAGAAGGGAAAGAGGAGGTTGTTTCTCCTGGTGTCCTGACCAACGATGGCTCTTTGTGGGCTATTTTGCCTCCTACAAAATCAGCCACTGACAAGTTATTGCTGTCAACTTTGAGATCTCTCAACATAAAATAAGGTATATAAGATGTGCAGGTGTACAGGCAGGTATAAAAATCATTGCCTTTTCTTTATATATTTATATATTATATATTTCGTTATATATTTTGCGTGGACTCCTGTGGCTCAGTGGTTAGAGCACTCGCTTTGCAAGTGAGAGACCTGAGTTCAATTCCAGGCAGAGGGCGAAACCTTGGGCAAGTTTCCTTACTCCACACAGAGCCTAATAGTAATCCCTCCAAAACCAAAAACAATAATAAATGGGTCATTTTCAATCTACGACTGTTTGTGGGACATTGCTGTACGCAATTGGCTGCCTCGTTCGCCCACAAATATACAGTCAATTCACTTTACAGTGTGTTCTGTGAAGCGCTTTGGGACGTCCTCCCGACGTGAAAAGCGCTATATCAAATGCAAGGATTATTATTATTATATTTGGATTTCAGTGAAGGAGACTGCTACTTCGTCATTTCTATTAGTCATGTAATTATAGCATTTTGGCATCTGTAGGCAATTGTACCAGTGGTGTGCAAAAGTAAAACACTTTCCTTCAATTATTCCCAACCTGCTCGTACATGAGTTCATGAGAAAAGGAACAAAAAATGTCTAAATACCGTGGGTGGGTGAGACTTAATGTGGGCGATGTGAAGCCTGTGTGCTTACTCTCCTCTCTCCAGTTCAGTAAGGAGTCTCCAGCATTGGACAGAATGTCTCAATCCTTTATTTCCATGCATCTAACCCAAATTTAGCCAAATTCAAGCTAAGATACTGAATAGCAAGATCCGCTTGTGAAATCTAGAATGCGGTTTTATAATGGACTAATTATTTTAGTAGAAAGTGAAGATGATTTGTCCATAATTTGTCAGGTTTTACTAAGCATCTCATTGTTTGGAAGGAAAGAGCCCAATTTAGTTTGTAGACAAGAAACAAGAGGAGCTCAAGGGTAGCGCTAATGAGCTCTCAATGATCCAGGCTTTGTGTTACACAATAAGGAATTCAGTTGGCGTTCTGCTATCTAAAATCAATGCCATTGAGACACCTGTGATTCCAGCAACTCCTAATGAGATGTGTTGAGATGTATTAACATTACCAGGGTCCACTGGCTGCACCTTGTTGCAAACCTCACATACGTCGTGTCAGTTGGGACCATACATTTAATGTGACTTATGTAAAGTATGACTTATGTAAAACTTGCATAGAATATAAACTCTTAAACGGGACTTGGGCAGATGTACGACTTAGGCAATTATATGATTTACACAGATCAAACTTATGCAGGTTTTAGTGTATTTGAAAAATGAATTGGGTGGCTCGTTTTTAAATGTTTAATTAAGAAAAACTGGAAGCATCCTCTCAGTGGAAGGAAAGTGTGTCACAACACCGCCAGGAGAGGAGATGGGCTACAATCTGGACAGAAAACCAGCAAAGGAAATTTATCAGCAGCCCCACCACAGATAAACGCAGCTTATCAACTGGCTCGCATGATTAGGACAAGATTAATTACCTCTTCTGTCAGTATTAATTAACAGAAAGGAAAAGAAAATCAGTCTTAAGCCCCAAACTAAGCCAGTTATGTAAGCTTTTGGGCCAAAGCTGCAGGTGTCGGTTTCTCCAGAGCATTACATGTGGTGCATTGCCTCCTTCAAGCGTCTAGTTAGAAGTCGTATTTTGGGGGATATTTTAAGGCTGGCTGTGATGAATATCTTCGCGTGATTTCTTTATAGCATTGTTTTTCCTTCCGAATTTCCTCTCATCTGCTTCTCTCGCACGCCCCTGCATAGACAGATGCCTGACACCCTCAGTCTTAGCAGCTAACTCACTCTCGGGATGGGATGAGGGGGGGAATGATATTTTATTACTGTCATCCGAACCCATGATAAGACTATGGCCTTTATGGTTCATTATGCATATATCTGTTCAAGGGACGGTTTGTGCAATTTTTGATCCATTTTTGGGCTCTGGTGCATTGGGGCCAGAACAGTCTATTCAGATAGTCGGTGATACCAACTGAAATATATTTAACATGTTTAGGGCGCTAGATTTACATGAACATACTGAGGGTCTATATATTTTACAGTAATGTTAATTACATCTCCCTTTCAGTATTTTGGTCCTTGGAGCCCAGTATCTGGAATATTAGGTCTGCGGTATAAAACACGGCCCTATTGTGCAACCGTGTAAACATCAACAGAAACTTACACTTGTGTACTTACTATCAGGACTTCTCTCTCATGCTGCAAAACCTTCCTCTTTGACCGCACATTTGGTCATCTTCCCACCCTCCCACCCCTCCTGAATCCAACCCCCAGCTCAGGTGCAAACCCTCGACTTGCCCAGCGCCTCGGGACACCCTCCCCAGGCGAAAGGCGCAGTATAAACCCCAATTGTAGTTGTTAGCACTTTTCACTTAAGAATGACTGATGTCAGCCAGGAAATGGGAGATATAAGATATAAGCCTCAGAATGACTGAATTTTCCAAATTCTTTTTAATCAATTAGTTTTCATTTTAGGATTTATTTCCCCCCCACCCGACCCCCGTCCACATACCCACCCCCCACCCTCCCTCCACACCACCTCCAGATTTTCCAACTGAGATCCGGCCAGTACTGTGGAGAGTGTGTTTACATTGTGGAGCGACTCTTGTTTTCTCCTCATTGCTTACGCCTTTCGGAAGCTCTTACAGATGGCTCGGCTGTGATCGGCAAAAGCTGTACCACAGGGCAATCTCCATGCAGCCTAAAGCCTCTCTCCCCCTCCCTTCCCCTGCTCTGACCAGCGCCTATCTATCTCCATCCCCTAACCTACCCCACTAGCCCCCCCCTTGCCCAAATAACAGAGAGGAGCTCGCTGCTGACAGCCATTTTATTTATTCAGACACATTCTCTTTCAAACTACAATTAACATATAACAAAGCATATCATGCGAAACAATTTGAGAAAAAAGATAAATGTTGCTTAATAGAACAGAAACATAACGTTAGGCTTTAATAATTTACTGTTTCCCAACCGACTTCCAAATCAACATCGTCACTTCCGCACCCTTTACTGTAGTGCCTATTGCTCCGCCCCACCAAAAAAAAATATTCCTCAGGATTTCATCTTAAGAGAGTAAGTGCAGCAGTAAAGCAAACACTGTTACTGTTCACACACACAGGATAGAAAGTCTTCCTTCTGTACATCGCTAATCACTCGTTTGGAAATATTGTCTATTAAAAATGTGCTGCCTATTTATAAAACGGCTCTGGGCCATCTCGCTGGGAGGAGCGAGTCTCATTAGCAGTGCCGCGGGTTGTAAATATAAATGCTTTCACCAGTCGTGCTCTGATTAAGATATTTTAAACAAAACGTGTCTTGTCGCCCGAGGCTGGAGTGCAGCTCGCACTGCGAGTGGGTTTTGCTGGGATCGTGTTCGTTCCTTGCGGCCGATGTGGGAACGGGAATCGTGCTCTTGGTACCACAACAGAACCAGACGCTGATGTGACAAGCGGCCAAAGTCACAGACGTCACATCACCGACTGGCTCCTTCTGTCTCATCTCACTGCCTCACTTCAGTATTACCGGCTTCTATAAGCCTTTTTAAACAAAGATGCCGCTAAATCTTTTAAGATCCCGGTATCAGTGCTTCTCAGAACATTCATACCTTGGGTTAGAAATTTTTGTGAGGTGGGAGGAGGGGAGGGGGAGGGGGTCACGACACACAGATGTTTGTGAACTGATGGAGTGTATAACCTGGAGGGTTTGCTAACTCAACAAAGGCGAGGTGTTGAAACACACAGTAAACGGTAGGAAATCTGATCCAGCCGCAGTCTGAACTGTTCATACCACTTACACCCCATACACACATACATACACACAGGCGCTTTAGTGGTAATTATGCCCCCCCCACCTCTCTTTCCCTCCCCCCTCCTCAATACTCTAGTGCACATAGTCAACAAGGGGTTTGTTATACTATGATTTCCTGAACCCCGGTTATATAATAATCTTTGCATTTGATACAGCGCTTTATCATGTCGTCGACATCTCAAAGCGGTTCACAGGATACACTGTAAAGTGGAGTGACTGTTTATTTTGTAGGTAAACCCAACAGCTAGTTTGCAGACAGCAAGGTCTCACAAACAGACATGGAGGGAGCGACCAATTTGAGGGATTTGTCAGCCAGGACGCCGAGAGAGAGAGAAACTCCCTTCGCTTTTTGAATAGCTCCAAGGGATCTTTAACGTCCACTTGATCAGGAAGACGGGACCTTGGTTTAACGTCTCATCCGAAGGACAGCACCTCTGACAATGCAACACCTGATCACACCATCACATTGGAGCCTCGGCTTAGATGATGTGATTCCATGTCCTGATGTGGGGCTTGAACCCACGAACTTCTGACACAGTTTACCTGCAGCTGTAATCCATTGGGATCACTGCTGATTTTTTTTTGGGGGGGGGAGAGAAGAATAGGCAGAAAATGCCGCACAGCCCTGCACTGGAATCATAGAAAATGTTAGGTTAACCGGAGGACTGGAGAGCGAGACAGAGTAAGCTTCATATGCTGCCTCTCATCTTGTTACGAACAAAATCCTCTGCATTTATTTTCAAATTATTCTCATTCCCTGAAATGCAAACAATTCCATAAAAGAAACCAATCTCAACAAACCACCCGCTTGACATTTTTTTTCCATTTACCCTGTCTTTTGAATACTGTATCCTTGTTTTATTTAACAAACCGGGGCCCTGATGTGGAGGCGTTATCAACTCTGAGAACAAGAGAGAACTGAATTCATATCAGTTGTCACCACCATTAAACCTTGGTTCTGTGCCTTTTAATTATAATATTAACAATAATAATCCTTACATTTGGTATAGCACCTCATCATGCCGTTGACAAGTCTCAAAGCGCTTCACAGAATACACTGTAAAGTGAATTGACTGTATGTTTTGTGGGAGGAAGCAATGTCCCACAAACAGTCGGGGATTGAGTGATTAAGTTATTATTATTTTTTTTTTGAGTGACTATTGCCCCTGGAAAGCAATTTATCAATTGACTAACAACCACGTTCCTACTTAATGCTAGGTAAACAGAGGCCTGTGGAGTAAGGAAACTTGCCTAAGGTTTCACCCCGGTCGCGAATCAAACCTGGGTCCTCTTGCTTGTGAAGCAAGTGCTCTAACTACTACAGGACTCCACTCTAGGTCTTTACTCAGTTCCTTCCTCGGGTTCTCGGTAACTCCTCACGGTCAACTCCCCAGTCAGTTGGGATGACGAGCGACACTGAATGCGAGGCTTTCAGAGCCGATGTATTTAACATCGTGCTGGAAGATGGCAGGAGGGTACCTTAGGAGAGATAACTCGCAAGATCTGATTAATCTTGAAACTCAACAGATAAAGGTTACATATATTAATTAGCATGTCATCTACAAGCATTTAAAATGCTCTCTCCATTTCAGTAAATATTTGTACCTTATTCGAGCGAGCAGACTTGAGTAAACTTATTTCGTATTAGTTTTGGTCCAATAGGTCTCCTTTAAATGTTAAAAGATTACATGCAAGAGTTTCTCTTGAAAATAAATAGTTATTTTTTGTTTTTGAAAGTTTTCCATTTTCTGCTTTCACCTAAAATACTTCACTCAATAGGTGTTGGTTGTAACGATTTATTACTGAGCAGCGACAGGAAGGGTGAAGACGAGATTTTTTTTATACCAATGTTGGCACAGAGTTAGCTTAGGTAATAATGATATAATAATAATAATAATCATTGCATTTGATATAGCACTTTTCGCATCTTCTAGATGTCTCAAAGCGCTTCACAGAATAGACTGTAAAGTGAATTGACCACATATTTGTGGGCGAAACGCGGCAGCCAATTGGCACGGCAGCGTCCCACAAACAGTCGTAAGTGACTTTCACGTGAGTTGTGCGTGGTGTGATGACCACCGCGAACAAAACGCAAGCGTTAGTTGAGAAAATCAACATTAAAGAATGACTTTTTCTTAAAAAAAACATGCCATTTGATTTGTAATTTTTTTTAAAAAAAAGCTCATTAAGTGTGGCAAACCTTTTACTGAGACCCAATCGTTTAAAAAACACGTGCTCTCAAAATGTTGCCCAAGCTTTGTGCCAGCACCTATCATCCATAACATGCGAGGATTGACATGCACTTCTCAAAGGCAGAGAGTAGTGAACTCACTAAAAGTATTATTCCTAAAACAACGCAGACTTTACCTGAACTGAACGTGCAGCTCTTTGACAATTTCTCAGATTTTATTTCATTTCGAATAAAACATAAAACCGAAGCCGACTTAAACTGGTTCCGTTTACTGTAGTGGCGATCAGAGGAACTAAACAATGCTTTCAAAATGTTTTCCGATAAAAAGTTATTTTCTTTTTAAAAAGGTGAATCGTACCGTTATGTAAGCAGGCGATTATTTTAAGGAGGAAAAAGAAGCACATTTTGTGTGTGTGCTTGGTATAAAAACTGCACGAGTTCTCTGAAAGTACAAGAAATGCCTTTTAGTAAAATGCCGGGGGTTGGGAGGGGGGGAATAGAGGCAGACATGGTGTTCTCAGATAATGTATGTGATGGACTGTGATTTGTGTGAGGCAGACTTGCATTGTGTATTGAACGAACAAAGAAAGCTTTGTCAAACATTGATCTCACGAAGGCCCTATCCCTTCAGCACATGAAACATAGACATCAACAAAGCCTTTGCTTTGCAGCCAGCAGAACGATGCTATTTTTAAGAAACACAAGCTCATTCCGTATAACCATAACGTAATCAGATACAAAGCTCCACATAGGCTAGCGTTCTCCATAATTATAAAACGAGTCAGATTCTCCACTGTCTTTGTTACGCTTAGATTCCTCGCCTTGGAACAAGAATGTGTTAAATCCACATGAATGTTCCATCACCACCTTAAACTAGAAATAGCTAATTCAAATACCAAAGTAACTTGATTAGTGATTTCCCCCCCCCATCATTTAATTAATCCCTCTAAATGTTTTGTGCAAGACGTTTTGATTTCTTCTGTAATCTTAATGGAACTATCACCAATGATTGCTTCTGTCTGTCTCTCTCTCTCTCTCTTTATATATATATATATTAGTGCAATTTGTAAATGGACATGGTCTATAGACTTTTTTTTTAAATTCTGTTTTATAAAATACAACAGCTAGTTAACAATTTTGGACAACGAAAAAAAGGTCTGTCCTTTTATGTACCAGCCTGTTGAACTCGCATCGTGGGAAGACAAAGGCAGGAACATTGATTTCCTGGGGCCAATGTATATTGCAATTTGTACCTAAACATTAAAAAAAAGGATATCCAGCTAAGTAAGATACACACTTAAAATTCTTCCTTTTTTTTTAGTTATTTGACAAACCATGGACTGATTAAAATCAGCACTTTAACAGTTTTTTAAAGAAATCTTCGTACACTATTATTATTATTAATTATTTGTTGCTAGAAGTTAAAAGTGCTTGTTTGCGCTCAACGGGTTCTGAACATTATTAATCTCGGAAAGTCATTATCCATTGATTGATTAGACAATTATTCAATTGTTTTCCTCAGGGGGCTGGGTGCTGCTGTTCTCTGTTGCCCAGTTTCATACAGTGCTGGTTAAGTTGGGGTGGATGAACTCTGGGTTTACATACGAGAAACCCTCAAACTCAGCTTGGTCGATGTTGGAGATGACTAGCTGGTCTGGAGGTGTTAACACTGGTTGGCCTCGTGTGAAGAACTTGTCAAAGTTTTCAGCGTTTTTGCCGGACTGCAGAGAGAGGGAGGAAGGGAAGAGGTAAGTAAGTAAGGTCAACAAACTACAGTAATTCCCAACCAACAATAAATTACACGTGTGGAGAGCCTTTCACAACGGGAGAACGTTCCAATCCGCTGAATCACCAGTAAATAAATCTAACCCTTCCTTGAACTGTCACCTCCAGCTCTGCTATATCTTTAGTGAAACAATACATTTTGGGTGGTAACTGTTCGAATTTTTTTTTAAAACACACCATTTGCTCCTTTGCCTCACAGTGGAAATGTCCACGTACTAGATTGATACAATTCTGCCATGTTTATAATACAGTATTTCTGACAAAGAAAGAAAAAAAAGAAAAGAGGCATAATTTACGAGTTTACAGATGCTCCGATTACAACGTGCTCTCCGAAAGGTCAGCCATTTGCTTTCATCTCTGATTCCCCCTGAAAGGATTTCATTTAGTAAGCTCGCTATAAATAATACTTTGCTTTCGGTTCCTATGCACTGAGCCCATTTCTCCAGGGGTCAGGTTATAATGCAGGCTCTCCCGGATGCCTTTCTCTTATGCCCCAGAAGCTCACAGATTGATAAATAGCTGCTGGACCCACGGGAGGCAAGCAGCAGCCGTGATGATGCCATGTAGTTTGTCACACACGGACATGCTATCACGCATGACTGAACAGCTCCCTGTAATGCACTGTTGCCAAGTAGGATGAAAGCAAAGCCATTGCTTTCCGCTTTTTTTTAAAAAAAGACTAGAACAAAGGAGGAGCAATACGTTGGATACGCTGGGGAAGGATTTCGAGATGGCATTTCTAGGTCACATTTCCGAATGCAACCAGGCAAACCAGGGCTATTTAAAGGCATCAAAATGCACACGGCACAGCTTCCCCCCTTTTTTTTTGAAGGTCCTTCTACTGCCTACGCTTCTCCTCAGGCCTCGCGCCACCCGGGACCTGGTTTGCTCTCATGTCTCTGCCTAAGCCCCGAATCAAACGGCAACGACATCTGCACCTGATTAGGGCTCTCCACATGGGGCGGGGAAGCTCCTGGCTTTCTCCTGAAGAAGAGCGATCGAGCGATTCGAAATAAAACGAACCACATCTGCTGAGTGGGGTTACAGCTGGTACAGGGGCTAAGTGACCCTCACCTTCCCCGCTCTGTGCAGCACCTATCTGTCGTGTTGTTATTTCGGTGTTTTAAACAGTTTCAAGAAGATGTAGGGCTTTATTGTAGATCTCACCTGACGAGGTGGATGTACGTTACAGTCATTATTCACTCTCCCCTCCTTTGGGGATGGGTTCTTTATTAATGTGTCTTTTAAAAAAAATGTGCACAATTCTCACAAGCCCAGGACCTGCTTTGGGATCCACTAAGCCTTGGCTCACGCCAACCTGAGCCTAATACTCTGTGGAATTAGGTAAGCAGAGCGCCTCCCTCCAGGGAGAGGGTGCACATTCCATTCCAGACAGAGAAATTGCCACGGGTAGGTATGCGGAACTCTGGGTATGTTTTTATACTCTTAAGATGGGTTTCCAAATGTGATGGACACCCGGCTGACAAAAACAAAGGGGAAAGGAGAATGGTGGAGCATTAAGTGAGGACCATCTAATAAACCAGTGGAAGAGGCAATGGACTGTGTCACCTGCTCCTGTTTTATGGACAGGCTCAACATTTGTAACTCAATATATTGCACCTAAATCCTGTCACTGATGATACAGATCAGAGAACTTAGCCTGTTTCAGTGAAAGCAATGCGCCTGCATATCTCTCTCTCTCTGCGGGATTTCAAGGATATATAATGATCCCATATAATAATAATAATCCTTGCATTTGATATAGTGCCTTATCACGTCTTTTGAGATGTCTCAGGAGTGCTTCACAAAATATACTGTAAAGTGAAGTGACCCATATTTTATGGGTGACTATATATTTCTAGTGAAACATGTTTTCTCAAGGTGATGTAATATGAATTGGACGATGCGGTTAAAGAAACCTGGTTAAATCCATAAATGTATAAAATTTGTCAATGTGAGCCAAAGGTTTGTTCATCAAAACCTCCAGCCATTTCGATTGGACATCACTGAAGACTAACTGACAGTAAATCCAGGAGCTTTAATAAGAGTGTGGAAGAAGCCTTGGGGTGGGCAAAGATCTTACTGAGAAGCCATCTGGTTTCATGTAGAAATATAAAAAGGAAAGCAATTCAACTGATCTACCCTTCAGTCCGTGATACAGAGGTCACTGATTCAAAGCGTGTTTGCGTGCATGCGTACATGAGTGTTTGTGTGTGTGTGCACACGTGGGGTAGGGAGGGTTGGAAAGTACACAGATTCCATAAGGAATAACATGAAAGAGTGGTTGGCTGGTTTGCAGCTGGCAATATTGCTGGGTAATGAATTCAGCCAGTGAGAAGATTGATCTCGCTGCACTGTGTACTTCAATCACTGCACATTGACATATACCGTTTTTAACCTCTACCTCTTTGTAGTCCAGCTTGGCTGCACTCTGAAACTAAACTGTAAAACGTACAAGATATTTGAGAGCTCGCTCTTTGGGGTAATGAGCTGACATTCAGATGGAATACACTAGTTCAGACTGACGTCACATTACCTTATTTTACCTTTATAATGCATCAGTCAGTTGGCCTCATCTGCGAGTTTGGCATTTGGGGGCACCGTAGGTTTCAAATAGAAAAGCGCACGGGGTGAGAATTTATAATAATAATCCTATAATCCTTGCATTTGGTATAGAGCTTATCACTTCTCAAAGCACTTCACAGAATACACTGTAAAGTGAATTGACTGTATCTTTTGTGGGTGAAACATGGCAGCCAATTGCACACGGCAGCATCCCACAAATAGTCGTGGATTGAGTGACCAAATTATTATATTTAACTATTTTTTGTTTTGAATGGATTATTAGCCCCGGTCAATCGACTAACAACCAGGTTCCTATTTACTGCTGGGTAAACAGAGGCATGTGGAGTAAGGAAACTTGCCTAACGTTTTGCCCTGTCTGGGAATCGAACCCAGGTCCTCTCGCTAGTGAGGCAAGTGCTCCAACCACTAATTTCATCCCAGCCTTAGACTTGCTCTATTTTCAACCCCTGTTCAGACTCGCCAGCTGCACCCGTGACATTGACCAGGATTTCCAGTCAGTACTGGAAGTCGTTTGTCTGGCATCAATCTGACAGTAACAAACAGACGGCCTGCAAGCTCCCAGGTTATTGTCCGTCTCTCTAACCAACAGCTTTCTGAACAATTTTATTTGGTCTGCCGGGTGCCTGACACATGCGGGAAACCCATCACCGTTCTCAACAGTATCCAGACCAAGCTAAGAATAGAACGGAGGTGAAGCACTCTCTCCTTCTGCAAAGCATTAGGCTCAGGTTGGCAAGAGCCAAGGCTTGGGTAGCCCAGAGTGTGCGTTGGGGGTGACTGCTGGAGCCTGACCAGCTAAAACCACGTAACATGTATGTGTGCACGTGTGTGGTCGTGCGTGTGTCGGGACTCACAGTTTTGGGTTTGAATGGTGGCTGAATCTCCTTTATCTCCAGCCTTATCCAGTCAATTCTTCGGAAGAAAGCGTGGTCCTTGATATCTCTCTCGCCTTCCAACCCGCAGCCCAGGCGCTTGGCTGGGTGTTTAGTCATCAGCTACAAAAGAGACAGAAGATGAAAGGATAGAATGGAAATCGCAGGCTGCAAACCAATAGCCCACAGCAGAGTGGAGTGAACAGCAGCTTGTGAGAGCTAAAGAGAGGTGAACATTTTTCTCTCTCTGTTTCAAATAAGTCATAAAAAATTGTAAAGAAAGAGTTCCAAATCCTGCAATTGTTAAGACACTGGGGTATTTTACAGTATATTCTAATACAGTATTTGATATAGAGCCTCATCACGTTGTTGAGACGTTTCAAGATATACTGTAAAATGGAGTGACTGTTTATTTTGTGGGCAAAATGCACCAGTCAGTCATGCACAGCGGTGTCCCACAAACAGCCGTGGAGCGAGTGACCAATTTTATTTGGGGGGGATTGTCGGCCAGGACACCGGGAGAGAGAGAGAAACTCCCTTCTCTTTTCGAGTCGTGTCCTGGGATCTTTAACGTCCATCTGAACAGGCTCAGACGGAGAGCTCAGTTTTAACATCTCATCTGAAGGACGGCACCTCCGACAATGTAACAGCCTCCCCCAGCGCTGCATTGGAGCGTCAGCTTCGACTGTGTGATTCCAAGTCCCGATGAGGTCTCGGAGCCCGTCAATCAGCCAACATCGGATCAGCTGCTCACACCTCGTGTCCCACCGCAAACACACATCCGGCTCCGGGAAGACAGAGGTGATGACTGCAGCTTCACAACACGAAGACGCCAATTTAGCTCCTCCGCACCACCAGGCTGGGCTCAGTCACACCCCGGGTTAGATTGTCGGCACATTTACAATTCTTTGACAAAAGGCTAAAAATAAACAGACAGGTGGCGTTCGAGGCAATGGAATTCTTTTGCAACTTTTATTTTAAAATGAAAACAGGGTTTTTTNGTGGCGACACTGTTATAAACTTAGGGTAATGTATTGTACCGTAAGCCAGTCAAGCTGTGCTGAACTCTGATTATCATTGTAAAGGCCGTTGGCAGCCGATTGTGCACAAAAGTGTCCCTCAAACAGTTGTGGATTGAGTGACTCATTATTTCTGTTGTTGTTTTTGTCTTTTGGTGGGATTATTGCCCCCAAAAGCCAATCAACGAACAATCGGGTTCCTACTTACTGGTCGGTAAAGAGAGTGTGTGTGGAGTGAGGAAGCTTGCCTAAGGTTTCGCCCCTCCCCGCCCGGGAATTGAACCCGGGTCCTCTTGCTTGTGAGGCTTGAGAAAGCTAACCACTACACTACGGGACTCCAGTGATGTTCAGAGAGCGATGCTCTCTCTCCTTACTCCAGTAAACAGGCAGAACCAGGTGACGTACGGTTGACACAACAACAGCAACAACAAGATTACATCTGTGTAGCGCCTTTCACGTCGGGAGGACGTCCCAAGGCGCTGAGTGCAGACTTACCCCCTTGCAGATCAAGACGGCCTCTTTTGACATGGATTTGGGATATGAGACATTGTGCTCCATTATCGACTGGAAGAGTTCGTCTTCATCCTCCCCATCAAATGGAGGCTGTGAGAACACAACACAATCAACAAGGTCTCGGTAAAAACCCGGGAGCAACAATCAACAACACCCAGCAACAACCATGGGCCCCTTTTTCATCCAAAGATCGTTCAAGCACATCCGTGCCATGACCCGTTCTGCCACCATATTTCTAACACGTGTGTTTGATAAGATGATTTAAAAATATATATATATATCTTTCCATCTGATTGTTCTCTCTCTCTATCTATCTCGATCTCTCTGGTTTGCCATCCCTTCGTCCCTGGAAGAAGCACTCACCTTCTGCTCACGGTGTTGTTCTCTGCTGTTGGCTTGGCTGTGATCGTGGACTTAACAGTGTTACAGGACCTGGTCTGGCTAATAAATCCTCTTACCTGTCCCGCCAGCATTTCATATAGCAGCACCCCATAGGCCCACCAGTCCACCGAGCCTCCGTATGGCTGATAGGCAATAATCTGCAACCAAAGCAACAGCCAGTGTGAGAAAACAGGAGCGAAACAATCCATGAGCTGTGAATTCAGGTACTTTCCGAGAGAGAGGAGCCCTTCTCCACAACCAGGGTCTTGATCACTAGGACCCCTTGACTGGTAGAACAGGCTACAGGGGATGAATAGCCTACTCCTGCTCCTATGATCCTAATCGAGCTCCGGTGGCTTGAGGTTATGGCTGCTGGTGGGGAACACGAGTCAAGGAAAACATCTCCATTTCAGCCGCAGCATCGCCTGGTGCACAGAACAGAACAGCGCTGAGCCACACTGGATGTTGTTTCTGTTTTGGGGGGAGGGAGGGTGGGCAGCCGGGTGTCTGACACATGCGGGAACCCATCACCGTGCTCAAGATTATCCAAACCGAGCTGAGAATTCCACGCATCCCACCTACACGTGGAAATTCCAGAGATAGATTGTTGGAATGGAATGCTCTCTCTCTCCCTTGAAGGCACATACCTCGCTTACCCAATTCCCTGGGCGTTCACTGTTGGAAGCAAATACAAATCTAGTGTCATTAAAGTCCCCAGCAAAACACCCTCTATTCTCTCCCCATCTCCTTTCCCTCTATGCTCTAAATTGCTGCCTGTTGGGTTAAATTGCAAAAGAAATTTTAGATGTTTTACAGATAACAGCACATGTCTGACAGTGCGTTTAAGGCAGTAAATGAATCTCGAGGGCTCTGCTTTTCTCTCCGGCTTTGAAGGCTGTCAATTGAATCGCTGTTGGTAACTCGTCGCCAGGTGTCTATTCTAACACGAAGGAGCTAACTGGGTTCATTATGCCCGTTCTTTGTGAGAATAATCTCCAGATTATCTGGGAGACGTCGTTTGACATTGTCAAAACCGCTGTCAAAAAGACAATGCCTTTCCTGTAACTGCGCATCTTAATTCGTTCAGAGAAAAATCTTCCATAATATTGAATTCCCAATAAAACAACCTCATTTCCATTTTGAGATCTCTGATAGCTTGTCAGAGAGCAGCGTGCTCTCATTTCAACGTGCTTGCTTTCTCTCTCTGTCATTTAAAAAATTCCAACGTATAAGGCATGCTCGACTGCCTCCACACCTCAAGTCTATAATTTATTCAGCTCCTGGAGAAATGTACTGCAACATTTCTATAATTAAAAGGACATTACTCTGAAGACCGTAAAGCATTTTAATTAGGCCTTGAAAATACTTGAATATTCGAGACCTGAGCAGTGCTCCTCTCCCAAATGACTAATTGATTTATTCTCTTCCTGAATTTCCGTGGCAGAAACAAACTGTCGACGTTTGATTTGGTTAAACGTCGAGTGTAAATATTTCCTGACCTGGAAAGCTGAGACCGTGGAACGCATTGCCACAGAGGACTATAGATATTGAAGCGTTTGTGATGTTTTAAAGGGTGATGGATGAAAATGGATGAAAGCATATCACTTTCCGGGAGCAATAATCCCTCTCAAAATAAAGTTGCTCACACAATCCACGACTCTTTGTGGGACAAGGCTGTGTCTCACCCACAAATTACACAATCACCACACTTGACGATATATTCTGTGGAATCCTTTGAGAGGACTGAGTGACCAAATTATTATTTTTCTGAGGTATTACCACCTCTGGAAAGCGATCTGCCAATCGACTAACAACCGGGTTCCTTTTTACCACTAGGTAAAGAGAGGAGTTCGGAGGAAGCAAACTTGCCTAAGGTTTTGCCCCACCCAGGAATCGAATCTGGGTCCACTTGCTTGCAAGACAAGGCTAGTGAATAAATGTTGGGGTCTGCAGCCTAATAAGCAGATACGCATTATAATGAAGCGGATTATAACAGGATTCTACTGTAGTTAACACCCAACACATTTTCGTAAATCAACCAAGAAGAAAACCAAAGTGAGGACAAGGAGAATCACCAATTGATGGTCGGGGAGGAAGCTGATGGTGAGTGTTTTGCAGTTCCTATTCCACTGATGGACTGGGTTCTCTCCTGGGTTTGGCTTAAGGTCATCCGAGGCTTCAAAGCTCTGCCCTGCCAACTTTCCCTCTTGAATCAGTGCATGGCCTTTACACATCAAACGCCCAGTTAACCCTTCTCTGTGTAACAGCAGTAAAGATAGCGTTTTGAATCCACACAATAACATTCGATTCCCCAAAAAGGTCATCAGAACCCGGGAAGTGTTTGTTCTGTCCACACGAATTGGCATTTCGGATCGAACCAGGAAATGTGAATGTTTTTCTCGGCAATAAACGGCTACAGAAGAGTCAAAATCAAAGCACGAAACCAACGGAACCTTCTGCATCCAAACTCATTCAACGTAACTGATTGTTGGATTTATTTGTTATATTTGAGCACTTTCAACAAATAATCTGATATTGATTTTCCATGAAGTTTCCTGTTACAAAATGCCCCCCTTGGGGATGAGTTTAATTCCAGTGAACGTTCCCTTCCTAACATCATACATCACATGTTGGAGCTGTTGCACTGACCTGGAAAAACATGAAATGCATTCTGCGTTGATTGGGAGAATGTTTCACGTTTTGGCCCAGTTCTCGCCGCTCGCTACACAGCCATAGCTTTTAATTTGATAGAATTGTATTTCACTCCAGAAGCCCCTAATCGCTTCGATTTGCTATAGAGTGCATTTTGTTTGGTGCCAATGCAGTCAATTAACTGGAATTATCAATTCACAGCCCCATTGAAAACCGTCGCTGTGAATAGTTTTCAGATCAATCCTTAACGTCAGGGCAGGGATGAAGCTGGATATCTTTTTTTTTGGGGTGGTGGGGGCGAGGTAGGTGTCAGCCACATGCGAAAACCCATCATCGTGCTTAAGAGTCAGTAAAAGGGTTAACTTCTCAAAGCTCTTTTGGAATTTGGTTTTGTGCATCTAATGTGTCTCATTAACCTATGATGGATTTCTATTAGTTTGGAATCAAGCTTCACATTGAACACATCCTGCGGAGAGTGAGTGAGTGAGTGAGTGAGAGGGGGTGGGGGCACCTCAGCTGTAGTCCATCACCTTCAATCATGCTCAATTTACATGAGATTATATGTTGCACTAACACAGTGTCACGGTATTATGGTGAAGGCTATTTTTTAAGCGATACAAAATCTGATTGTCAGAGCTCCAGCGATCGGCAGACACTCTATTAGGCCAGTAATTGCGCAGCATTTAGACAGTGAGACGATTGGTAGCCAAAGGTGAGCTCATCCCCAGAGGGGCTGGCTATGCTGTGCTGTCTGATGTACACTGATGTTTCCTCAGGTTTCCTGGGCAGGTCAGGGCAAATCCTTAGGCAAGTGTCCTTACTCCACGTGCCTCTGTTTACCTAGCAGCAAGAAGGAACCGGGTTGTTAGTCGATTGCCAATCTTTTTCCAGGTGTATTAATCGCTCCAAAAACAATCCCTTCAAAAAATAATAGTAATAATTTGGTCACTCAATCCACGACTGTTTGTGGTGACACTGCTGTGAGTAATTGGCTGCCGTGCTTCACCGACAAAATATAGAGTCAATTCACTTTACAGTACATTCTGTGAAGCACTTTGAGAAGTCTCAATGGTGTGATAAGGCGCTATATCAAATGCAAGGATTATTATTATTATTAAAACAGTGACGTGCTCGCGGGCTAACTGACTTCCCCTCCACCTCGCCTTAAGCCGTCTGGGTAAACAGCTCCGTGTTTGATCAAATGTCAGATGAGCTAATCTGACAGGAGCCAATCACTGCGTGCTGAAGAGGTCTCGGGTTAAGCTAATTCAGTGAGACATTTCCACTCGCTGCTCCGAGCTCTCTGTGTGCCGCTGGAGCTGGTGTAAGAGCCTCGACGGCCTCAAGAGAACTGCTCACGAGTTCAGGATGTCACCGTAAAGCACACACCATTGGAGGCGAACGGCAACTGAGAGGGGCAGGAACACACATTATCTTATTACGTGAGAAAGGTCACACTGACAATCAGCCCCGCACACACACACCCACACACACTCACACGGTTATTCCAGCCTTTAGGCGCTCCGAGACGCCGCCTGGCTTGAAGGGCGCTACATAAATGCAAGTTGTCGTTGCAATAATTTTACGCTCATGCCAATGAGCATCTCATTGTTATAAATGGGTAGGTACCCTCCTACCCCTACCCTCCTGATCCCAACCCCCAGCTCAGGTCCAAATCCTTGACTGCCCAGCGCCTTGGGAGGTCCACCTGACGTGAAAGGCGCCGTGTAAATGTCATTTACTGTTGCGCGAGGGGTTGAACGGGTTCTGGGATCTGGTCCTGTGCTGCATTTTCCCAAGCAGCTGGGGACGGGCTGTGACTGAATGGATTAGCCGCAGGCTCACAGACACCAGAACAGTGACAGAACCATCTGACAAGAGCTCGCAGCACAGGACACCTGACGTCAGGCCACCCAGTTAGCAACGCGCTCAGAAACATGAGGGGGGTTTGGGGGGGGTGGGGAGCGAGACACTGACAGATCAACAGCAAGTGATGGCACAGTCTTTACAGTGTTTACACAAGAAAACACATCCCTCGGCAAACTGTCAGAGGAGCCATTCTGTGCTGCATTCTGTGACACCTGAGTCAACGAGGTGCATGTTATTACTTAATCCTTCCATTCGACATAAGGCTTCATTACGGTTTCGTGGGTTGGGCTGGACCCGGCCTTACCTCCGGGGCGATGTAGTCTGGGGTCCCGCAGAAGGTCCGTGTCGTCGCCAAATCAAACATCTTCTCTTTGCACATGCCGAAGTCCGCGATCTTGATGTGTCCCTCGGAATCCAGCATCACATTGTCCAGCTTCAAGTCTCTGCACAGAGTCAAAAAGACACAGCAGTCAGCGGGATACTCACAGGGTGTTCACAAAGTCCTGTTGCTCCTCTGTGTGTGTGTGTTTTTCTTATAATGAATTGTTATTTACTGTTGCAGTTGTCTGTTGGCGTGTGCAGCGAGCAGCCAGGGCTACTACTGGGGAGCTGTGTGATACACTTAGCATCGAGTTCATGACCACTTCGTTTTTTTTTTCACCTGTTCCCCCCCCACCACTCCCTCTTCACCACCCCCCCATCCCCCACCTTACCCCCACCCCCCTCCTTCCCGGAGCCCGTACCTGTAAATGATCCCCTTCTTGTGCAGGAAGAACAGCCCGATCGCAATCTCTGCCGCGTAGAACCTGGAAATTATCAGAAAGAGGTGTGACTCGGCTCATGGCCACGGCACGCGGCAGGGACTCGGGGAGTGTCATGTCCGCGGCAAATCACCTGGGGAGTCAACCTGGTTGGTTCGAACTTCGAGCCTCACCCCAACTGAGCAAGTCGTTGCTTCCTCTCTCTACAGATGGAAAATGACATGTGGCTGTGACACATCCATTAACACTGGGTAAGTGTCTGGTTGGGAAGTTTGTTGAAGGTTGTGTGAGCTGAGATGGGGTGGGAAGCGGGGGGGTGGGGTGGGGAAGGGTAGTCACTCCCTGGGAAGCACCTAACCACAACCCCCTTCCCCATGTTGGACATGGGGCAGTTTGGCCACTCTGATTGACTGGGCAACACTCAATGGGATTGCTGTGCAGACCTGGGACTCGGTTTGGTTTGGAGACTCTGAAGCATCGCCATGGAATATCGCCAGACTACGGCACTACCTCACCACTCACGCGGCTGAAACTTTGGTCCACGCCTTTATCACCTCAAGGCTGGACTATGGGAACTCTCTCCTCGCCGGCCTTCCCGGCACCTCCCTCCACACTGCAGGTCATTCAGAACTCTGCAGCTCATGTACTGTCCCGCACCAGGCTTCGGGACCACATCACTCCCACCCTCGCCCTCCCTCCCAACCTCGCTCGCCTCCACTGGCTCCCCATTCCCCAGAGGATCGAATTCAAGATCTTTATCCTCACCTACAAGGCCATTCACGGCCTTGCTCCCTCCTACCTCTCTGACCTACTATCCCCCTACCTACCTGCCCGTACCCTCCGTTCCTCTGGCTCCGGTCTGCTCCACATCCCCCACCCCAACTGCCCTACCATCGGTGGCCGGGCCTTCAGCCTCTCAGCCCTGAGGCTCTGGAACTCTATCCCCCAGTGCCTTCGCCGCTTCCTCCCTTTCCTCCTTCAAGGCCGGTCACAAGACCTTTCTCTTTGACCGTGCCTTCAGCTCCTCTCTTGACTCCCTACTCCCTCCTCGCTCCCTCCCTTCCCTCCCCTCACCCTGACCATTTCCCGCCTGCTCGGGTCCCAACCCAACTGTACAGCGCCTTCGGACATCCTCCCGACGTGAAAGGCGCTCTATAAATGGAATCTTGTTGTTGTTGTTGTTGTTGTTGTTGAAGCAGGGCGATGAGTTTCCGCGTGCGTCAGACACCCACCCGGCTGTCCAAAAAAAAAGAAATCCATGCTCCAATACTCACACTGCCTGGGGCTCCTTGAATTTACCAACTTGTTGGATGTGGTACATGAGGTCGCCACCGTTCACATACTCCATAACAAAGTACAGGCGATCCTAAGGCAGAAAGGGCACCAGTCAGCAGGTATCTGCTTTTGCGTCACAACCAGTGTCATGTCCGCAGTTACATTCCCACTGTGCATCTAGAATTGTGGAGTCCCCTAAGGTAGTGGTTAGAACACTCGGCTCGCGAGCGAGAGGACTCGAGTTTGAATCCTGAGGGGCGGACATGGCAAAGCCTTAGTCAAGTTTCCTTACTTACTCCCCACACCAAGCAGTAAATAGTTGTTAGTCGATTAGCAGATTGCTTTCTGGGGGTAATAATCCCACCCAAAAAAATAATAATCGATTGTGGGATGTTAATGTGCGTAATCGGCTGCCGCATTTTCACCCACAAAACACGCGGTAAATTCTGTAAAGCGCCTTGAGACGTCCCAACGACGTGATAAGGCGCTATAGCAAATGCAAGGATTATTATTATTATTATTATTATTATTAGATCTGTGAACTCTAGAGACACCGGAATCCTGGTCAGAGGTTGGGATGACGTGGGGAGCCTAGCAGAGAGGAAACACGTGGAATCGAGGAGAGGGAGGAAGAAGCAGATAGGGATCCGTCCACGGAGCACACACTGGGGGAGTCAAACGCAAGTACCAAACCCTTTCCCTGAACCCCGGTTTGCTTTTAATCACCTGAATTCAGTTTGATGCTGAGAGGCGCCACCCGCTGGATCGTACTGCGACTCTAGTCTCGGGATACTTCACGTCCCTGTGACTGTACAGTATCCGGTTCTAAAGCTCGCGAGCTTCGTGCGATGGCAGATACGGGTGTGGAGGGGGTGGGTTACAGACGCGGAGGAATTGGTGTGTCATTCTACGGACGAGGCTGAGATAAAGCCTCCTGAAACCCTCCCCACTCTGTTCCAGGCCATTGACCCAACTCCACACAGCTAGTCAGTTCAGTGGATACGTTTCAGAAACCCGCTGTACATAAACCCATCGAAGATTTGGCAAGACTGGACAGCACGGAAACAGGCCACTCAGCCGAAACCAGTCCGTGACGGTGTTACAGGAATCCTCACCCACTCCCACACCCTTCTGCTCCCGTCTCCCTCATGTGAAGATCTAGCTTCCTCTTGAATGCATCGACACTATCGGATTCAACCACCGCTTCAGGCAGCGAGCTCCAAATTCTCGCTCCCGTCTGCGTGAAGCAGTTTCTCCTAAACTAGCTGTCAGATCCTCTAGTCGCGAGGCACCCAGTCTGGCTACGGCACGTGGCATTGCCTTGGGCGTCAGAAGCAGAGGGGCGAGAACATTGGTCTCTTGACAGTCGGACTGGGAGTCACGGCTGAGTGTGCTCTCTCTCTCTCTCTCTCTCTGCTATCTCTCAGCCGGAGCCAAAGCAGATTGTTTCAAAATTAATGTGCTCCCGTTGCCATGGGAATGGAGTCGGTCCAGCCAAGCGAGCGAGCGAGGGAGCGAGGGAGGGAGGATTCTCACAAAGAGTTTTATTTTGTAAATGACGGGAGAGCTTCATCAATATCATCGGAAGTAATGTTTAACAAACCAGCCCACAGGCAAGGCACTGGGCACCCGTTTGCTGCCCAAATCATAATCGTTTGCCTGTTGTCACATGCCGCTCGCTTCACAACAAGCTTTGAATCATTGTGAAACCCAATGTTAATGGCCATCAGTGAACACTAGTCACACGAACTATCAGTCCTCCGCAGTGGACGAGATTGAGTGGGGATTAGGCTCCTCTGAAGCTTTATGACTTGAGGCTTAGCAGATCTGCACTAAAGCGCAGCATCCGCAGCCCTGGTCTCATTACAATTAAGTAAATATAATCCTTGCACTTGATGGAACCTTGTAGAGCAAAACCATCTTCAGAGGCCGCACTGTGATTCAGATCCCCCAAAACATCCTACTCCCACCCCTCTTGTCCTGCTCTCGGTCTGCTCAACTTGTCCTAACACGTGTCCAGCAAATATCCGTCTTTAGATGGTTAATACTTCCCCCAGCTTACAATCTCCGAGACGCTATCCTGCGTGAAGAGCGCATATATATATACAAGCTGTCGTTCTTTTGTCTCACCACCAGTCCCTTTCAGCGTCTCCCTAATCAGAGAGGAACTTGCCGGGAGGATGGTTAGAACGCATTTAACCGCCCAATTTCCCTGGCGAAGGTTTCGCCCAGCCCGGGAATCGAACCCGGGTCGACATAAGAGCAAAAGAATTTGCCGGGCGAAAGAAGATCGAGGCCCATCCAGTTCCACTTCCACCATCCATCCTGGCAGTCGCTTGACATGTCGTGCCCCAAACTACATACTGTATCCCCAGATATTACTGTCTAGCAGAAATCGATCTACTTTGTCGTTGAAACAAACAATATTTTCTGCTCTGCCCACCGTCTGTCTCCCCGGAGAGCCTGTTTACTACTCGCTCACTGAAGTAGCGCCTCCTCTCGCTTGCGAGGCGGGAGGGCGCTGACCGCTACGGGACACGGACTTACCACAGTTTGGAAGCAGGAATGCAGCAGGGTGAGGAAAGGCGGCTTCTCCTGCAGAGCCAGCACTCTCTTCTCGATCATGGTGCACTCCACATCGTCGTCCTGAATAACCACGTCCTTCTTCAGGATCTTGATGGCGTATAGCTCTCCTGTCCCCTTCCTCTCCGACAGCATCACCTGGGCAGGTAACAAACAGCACACGCACACACACCCGTCAGACAGACAGACGCTCAGGAACCCGGGGGGGGGGGGGAAATCCCCCACCCACATCCTCCCCCTCATTTACCTCCGTCTTTTTTTTAAGTGAGATATAAGGTCAAGCTCAGGCGCCATTAACCCTCACCTTGCCGAAGCTGCCTTTGCCCAGGACCATGAGGAAGTTGAAGTCCAGCAGCTTGACGTGCTCCACATTGTTTGACGGGAAACTCGATTTCCTCTCGATGACCTTTTTGGTGCCTGGGCCGAGCCGGGCTTTCTGTGGAGGGAAGGGAAGTGAGCTCAGGGTCAGTGGGGAAACCAGAGAGCCTCCGAGGAGCGGTACAGTACGATTAGGGTACCGGCCGGTTAGAACACGGTTAAAATTCGACCCCTAATTCCGCTCGACCGATCCCTGCCAGCCAACCAACCGTGCAACGTCATGTCAAACCCAGACAGGTCAGTGCTCACGCTTCCTCGCAGTACAGACACACGCTCGTGCTCACACGGCTCATTCTAACTGGCTCGGACTGCACCCAGCAACACTCAGGTGCGTTAACGGTTTCAGACCCTCGGGGTGGGGGGAGCTTTGTGGCTCCTTCTACGCTCTCGGCCCGTGAAGTCGTTCCAATCTCGGCCGCCTCTGAGCTGAACGTTACAAATTATCCGCAGCCAACAGACGGCCAAGCCTGGGTTTCAATCAGAATAAACTGCTCCAGCAAAGCACAGCCTCCACATCACCGACAGCCGAACTGAGGCATCACAAACCCTCTCCGGCTCCCCGTGTGTCAGTCTGGCTCGCTCAGCTTGCTCCACTCCCAGCCAGTAACGCTGTGTGTTCCCATCGGGACCTTTGAGCTCACAGTCTAGGCTGACACTCCGCAGTGAATGCAGTGCTGGGTGAGCATTACAGTCATAGAATCGTAGAATTACACAGCGCAGAAGGAGGCCATTTTTGGCCCATCGTGTCTGTGCCGCTCTTTGAAAAGAGCTATCCAATTCGTTCCCACTGCCCCACTCTCTCCCCTGTAAACTTGTCCTCCCCAAATAATTATCTATTTGCTGTGAAGCCACTACACCTCATGGCAAAACTCCGTGAAACGCGATGAGGCGCTAAGGCCAATTGCAAAGATTATTATTGGATGTTAACAGTGGCCACCGGCTCCCAATGCTGGCTGTTCGGGTGTCAGGTGTAGGTTTCCGATCAACAGGAGTGTGCATTTACCCAGCGCTCTAACACTTGCGGTTTAATTACGCTTTGCCCACAAAATACACAGTCGATGCACTTTACAGCATATTCTGTGAAGCGCTTTGAGACGTCTCGAAGACGTGATGAGGCGCTGTATCACATGGATTATTAATAATTAACTCACACACTTTAACCCTAAAGCCCACAGACTGCACGGCACACAGCCTGTTAGCTGGATGAGGTGCCAGATATTAGTAGATTTTATTTGCCAAACATCTTATCCCCCAAATGAGTGCGACTCCATAATCTGCAGAAAGTCTTTAATTAAAACAAACAACTCGGGAACGAGCTGGGACTCAAACCTCAAGCAAAGACAGAGGCCGTCGTTCAAGATCATTATAGGTTTCCGCAACAATGAACACGAATACCAGGCAGCGCTAATTACAGCTACAGATGTTCTGCGTGTCAGGTACACTGCTCAACATCTGGAGTGTTTAGTAAAAATACTCGTCAGATGTAACCATTGTGCTTCAAAACTCCCCCACTCCCCTCGCCTCACACACTGGGGAAAGGCTCCGCTAACCTTAGCTCCTTCTGGTACCTCAACTGAGCAGCCATCACATACATCACACACTCACACCACACACACTCACACCACATACGTACACCTCACACTCACACAAACATCACACAATCACACCACACACATAATAATAATCCTTGCATTTGCATCTTAATATCAGTTAATTCACTTTACAGTATATCCCCTAAAGTTTTGAGACGTCTCAAAGACGTAATAAGGCACTATATCAAACGCAAGTATTATTATATTTTATTATTACACATACACCACACACACACTCACAAACACCCCCCCAACTCTCCCCCCCCACAGACACACATGGACAGGCTTTCCTGGGGGTTACGTAGGTTGCAGCGAGGAGCAGGATAACTTCTCGGCCAGTTTCTGTTTGATGAGTCCCTCCTGTAATCGACAGAGGGCACTTTTCCCCAGACTCTGGTATTGGTAAATCATAGTCAGAGTCAGTGCATGAACGTGTGATTGTAGCTGATCAGAGCCGAGGCTATAGTGTGACGTTGCTGTGGGGGACTTTGTAAAGAGCCTCTTTTGACCCACTTTCAAATCCCGCCTAAAGACCTTCCTTTTTGTTCGTACTTACGGTCACCTCCCCACCTCCCTCTCCCTCCGTTTTGGTGTCAAGGCTCCGCCACTGTCAAGCGCTCTGGGACGCTACCCCACGTGAAGGGCACTATATAAATGCAAGTTGTTGTTACCGACCCATGTGCACGGAGGGTTGGTGGTGGTGGTGGAAGTGGTGGGGGGGGGGGGAAGAGAGAGAATCAGAACAGTTTAAGGAGAGGATGGAAGGGAAGAAAGAAAGCAGAAAAGGAAAGAGAGCGAGAGACAGAGAGACAGAGAGAGAGGGAGAACAGAAATCCTCGTCCACGCCAACTTGGTAGCTGAAGTTCAATGAATCTCCAAACCTCCAGAGAAAACGGGGGTGGAGCGAGGCAGGAGGTTAACGAGTTATAACGTAATGATAATTATAATAACCGTTGCATTTGACAGAGTGCCTTATCGTGTCGTTGAGACGTTCTCGGGGATTGAGAGGGCAGGGATTATACTCCCGGAAAGAGATCCGCCAATCGACTAACAAAGCGGGTTCTTAAAAGGAAGGCCAAGGGGGGAGTAAACGGCCTTTGCCCTGTTTCCTAAAACTTGAATCCGGTTTGGAGTTTGTTTATCGTGTTCAGTTGTGTCTTTTTTTTGCCCCGGAGATTAGACGGACAGCTTCACAGTCAAGGCTGAGCTGTGTGTAGAGCTGCCGTTGAGGGGGAGAGAACCAGGGAGGGAATGGGAACCCAACGTGGGCCGTGCAATCGGGCGTTCACCTGCTGCTCTCCGGTGGTGAAGGGCCATTACTACACAGTGATCAGTAGGGTTTTTGTTTAATGTCCCAGGCCGTCAAAAAAAAAGACAAATTTCCGTCTCCTTTAAAAATCTATTGAGTATCGGGTACCCCCTCTCCTCCCCACCACCCACCCCCACTCCCACCTCCCTCTCCCACCGCTCAAAAAACAGATCACTGGTCACCCTAACGCTGCAGACAAGGAAAAGTTGCAAAGGTGATAGGCAGAATGAGGGCAAGCTCAGTGTTTCTGCATACACACACACACACACACACACGCACATGCACAAACACACACATAGATCAACACACACATGCAAACACACATATACACATGCACACGTGCACACTCACACAGACAAACGCGCACGCAAGCATCGACACACGTACGCACAGACACACGCATGCAAAAACACAATCACACAGACACGCGCACACACACACACACACAAGCAAACACACACATGCACATCTGCACAAGCAAACACACACACTCGCACACACACCGGACACACAGGGAGCGCATCCGAAGGCAGCCCTGCATCTCAGGGTTCAGGCAACGCCGAACGTATTCACGGTGCGAACCCTCGATTATCAGCGTCTTGTAACGCACTCCCTGTCCCCCCCGTCCACCCCGTCCCCACCCGGAGAACTCCCAAGGGGGTAAATCCACATACGTGTGTGATGTTTACAAGTGCCACTAATGAGCGTGTTAAGAGAAAAACAGAGGAGAGAACTACCTTAAAGAGGTGGATATTAAGGCGACAGTCCTGGAAGAAACAGGAAAGGGAGAGAACTGCAGGGTTAATCGAGAAGGAAAGAGAGAAAGCGACAATTACTACAAGTCACAAGGAAAACAAAGAGATAAAGGCACAGGGCATCGGAAAACAGTCCCAAGTCGCAACATTCAGGACCAACACAGCACGAGCAAGCAGATGGGGTGTATGGAGAGGAATCAGCAGGAAGGTTGGACATGGGTCTTTCACACCACACGTGTTCCCAGGGTGTGTGGCGTTCCGTTAATATACCTGTGACACGGGGAGTGGTTATCGCGTTCGTCTCGCAAGTGAGACCACCCGGGATTGATTCCCGGGCGGATCGGGGCAAAACCTTAGGCGAGTTACCCTACTCCACACACTCGCCTCTGTTTTCCCCAGCAGTAAGTAGGTTGTTAGTCGATTGGTGGATCGCTTTCCAGGGGTTAATAGTAGCTCAAAAAAAAAATTGGTCATTCAGTCCTCGACTGTTTGTGGGACGCTGCTGTGCGCGATTGGTGGCTGAGTTTCGCTCACAAAATATACAAGGAATCCACTTTACACTATATTCTGTGAAGCGCTTTTAGACGCCTCAACGACATGATAAGTCGCTATATCAAATGCAAGTAGTATTATTATTGTCATCATCATTATTCCTAGAAACGTTTAGTCTGTTTAAACTCCTCCATCACTAACACTGACGTTAACAAATAACCTTATTGATTTTACATCCAATCCTCCTAAGTATGGAGGACAGTGCAGTGAAGCCCCATTGTAAAACACTCCTCAGGACAGCTCTAGTTACAGCCACTGTATTGTGGGGAACCTGTCAAAACACTCGCTGGAAATCCAGACAGACAATGAGATTCCGTAAGTGAAACCTGTTCCCGGAGCTCGTTGAGGGCCAATCAATCAGGTCAGGGAACTCGAAACCAATAAACACTTTACAGGTTCGACACTATGATCTGTAAGCGTAACTTTCTCCAAATAAACAAATGCAGGGAAATCCTGACCACGTCAAACCAACCACCTGCGGGTATCTGTTCCCACACCCATTCAATTCAATTCGGTTTGTGGCGATTTGCAAATTAGCACCGTCCTCTTTTGGTTACAGTTTATTCTCTGGGATCTCGAGCACGACAGCAGCAACAACTTGCATTTATATAGCGCCCTTCACGTCGTCCCGGAGCGCTTAACAGTGGCGGAGTCTGATGTCACACAGGGCATCACTGAGCCACCCCACACCAACCCCCTCCCCGTCACCCAAGTCCCAGTTGACTTTGACTCTTTAACACCAGGTCTGCACTCAGCCCTCGCTCGGGTCAATCATCGAGGAATCATCATCAGCCACCAGAAACTCTCCGAGACTCCACACGAAGACTTTGAGCGGCCACGGGAGTTTCCGGAAACAGGATTTCTTACCTCAAACTTTTGGCGGAGCTCGGGATTCCCGTCGTCCTCTGGGATGGGGACATTGTAATACTCGCCCTCCTCTTGGTTCAGGAGCTTGAACCTTGGGGTCAGTAAGAGAGAGAGAGAGAGAGAGTCACACGTGGCCTTCCTGGCATTGGTAGAAACGTGTGTGTGGGAGTGTGTGTGGGACTGTGTGTGTGGAAGTGTGTGTGTGTGCGTGTGCGTGCATGTACATGCGTGGGGGGAGGGGGTGGAGGGGTCCTCACCAGCCTGAGGCGGGGGATTTGTAGAGCTCGGAGATGCCGAAGGACAGCGAGCCCATGAAGTCGTTCCTGGTGGTACGGTCCCAGTCCCACACCTCCACCGACAGCCTGCGATCCTTGTCCGTCGGTTTTAGAATACTGCAGGAAAAATACACGTCAGCCACGTTCCCTTTCTCCAAGAGAAAAGAGCAACATTTACTACAACAACAACAACTTCCACGCAAAGTAGCGTATCGGAGAGCTTAGCTGTGTCGGAGCCTGACACCGAGCCGAGGGGAATGGGTTGGGGGGGGCGGGTGGGGGGGGGGAGGGAACGAGACTACAGTTGCGGTTGGAAAAGAAGGTCGTCAGTTGCGATCTGAAGACGGGGAAGAAGAAGGCAAGGTGGAGGGAGGGAGAGATTGAGGGAGGAAGAGATTGAGGGAGGGAGGGATTTAGAGAGGGAGTAATTGAGGGAGGGAGCGACAGAGTTTTGTACAACTGCAGGACTGAGATTAAGGTCAGTGGCACAGTGGGTAGAATGTTCTGGAAGAGTTGCGCCATCATGCTAGCCTTCTTCTCGTATGATCGGGGAGGAGAGAGAGAGCGCGAGGCGGGTGCTGGGAGTCCTGAGTTCAGCGGAGCAGATGGAGCTCAGAGCGTGACCAGAGCTCGATTTCTACCGGGGGAAAAAAGCTTAACAAGTGCCCGAGGCTGAATTCTAACAATAAAGCAGGACAGGGGCAACGGAGTAAAGGTGAACCGAGAGACGCAGAGCTGCTTACAAGTTGAAGGATTCGTTCCAGTGAGGGTTAAGGGTGCAACGCATGGTTTTTGTCTTCTGTTTGCTGTCATGTTTGGGGTCAGGGATCAGTTTCAGCTTCACATAGGGATCCGAGAGGCCGTTGGGATCCATCGGGATTAGGTTTCTCGCCTCCGTCACTGCAGGAGAGACAAGAGGAGAAAAAAGCATTGGTTTACATGGCGGTGACAGCACAGAGGACTGGGTTAGAGACAGCTCCAGTGTGTGGTGATGCTCTCACTGTACACCTAGCCAGGGATTTAGTCATTCATCCCACTCTTGTCTGTGTACTCGAACACAATAGATAATGATATTAAATAATACTAATAATCCTTGCATTTGATATAGCATGTCGTTGAAACGTCTCAAAACGCATCACAGGATATACTGTGAAGTGAACTGACTGTGTATTTTTGAGGGCGAAACGCGGCAGCGAATTCCACACAACAGTCTCACAAACAGCCGTGGATTGAGTGACCAATTTTATTTTGAGGCATTAGTACCCCCGGAAAGCGATCCACCATTCGACTAACGACATACTGCTAGGTAAACAGAGGCGTGCGGAGTAAGGAAACTCGCCTAAGGTTTCGCCCCTCCCTGCCCGGGAATCGAACTCGGGTCCTCTCACTTGCGAGGTGAGCGCTCTACCCACTCCCACCCCACCCTCTTCTCAGATGGCAGATACCCACTCTAATCCCGTCCCCCTGCTCTTTCCCCGCCTCGCTCCCCCAGCTCGCTCTCTTCTAATTGCAAATCCTTTTCGGTTCTTTCATTCTTTAAGTGCGCGTCTAATCCCCTCTCAAACGGGGAATGACTCAGCTGCACACTTGCAGTATCGCGGTTCGTATTCTAATCTCTCACACACTGGTATCTGGTGTCGTGGTCAATTGATACTTTTTAAAAATACCTGTGTTCAGTATTCATTTCCCTTCACAAAACACAGCTTATTTTTGGAAGGTGTTAGGTAGAGCAGCACAGACGGGCTTTGCTTTTTTGACTCACAGATTAACCGGAAGTCCATCTCCCGCACACAGGTCATCGGTCCACTAACCCTAACCTTCGCCCACACGGGCTCACCTCAACGACCAGCGCTGTCACCTCTGCGTCAGAGGGCCGTAGGTTTACGGCACTTCACGGTGCGACACCTTGCTGCATGCCAACGGCTGGTGCATTTCCATATGAATGCAACAGTCACCTACACCCGACAGGAATTCCCCGCGAAGCGCTTTTGAGATTTTATTGTAGGGGGTCAGCGCAGGGTCTGAGGCATACGGAAACCAGTCGTCGTGATTAAAGAGTTTCTGAACCAGACTGAGGTCTACGTACGCCTGGAAATTTTATCAGCTGTAACATTTACTCTCCGTCCGGCAGCTTTCCTTCACGTCGTTCCCCCCCACATTGCCAGCCGCGTCCTGCGTAGGAAAGGGCCAGTGAGTGGTGAGCTCAGCGACGAGTTCACCCTCCGTCCAGTCCAGGGAATAAATGTCTACACTACACAGAGCAGCCACCAGGAGGTGCTAAAGGTCTGCTAGTCAGGGCATCCTGCACAGCACTGGGCTCCGACACTCCGTCTCCTTTACGATCTGAGTCATCACAGAGGCCAAATCCAGGATAAATCTGAGTCACTATATCATTAATAATAATAATCCCCGGATTTGATAGAGCGCCTTATCACGCCGTTGATACGTCTCAAATCGCTTCACAGAATATTCCGTAAAGTAATATTCCGTGCCCACAAACAGTCGTGAATCGAGTGACCCGTGTGTGTTTTTTTTGGAGGGATTATTACCTCCGGAAAGCGATCCGCCAATCGACTAACAACCGGGTTCCTACTTACTGCTAGGGAAACAGAGGTGTGTGGAGTGAGGAAACTTGGCTAAGGTTTCGCCCCACCTGGGAATCGAACCCGGGTCCTCTTGCTCGCCGGGCAAGTGCGCTAACCACTACGCTATGGAACTCCGCTATACAGGGCAAACCCGGCATACATAGCGAGAGACATTGAGGCAGAGGGAGGCAGTGTGCAGTGCTGGAGAAAAAAAAGGCAAATACAATTTGCCCGCCTGATGTGTTCATCACTATGTTCACAAGATGAATCTCAGGTTAGAGAAAGCCGTTTGCCTGGTTAAGCGAATCCTAATAATAGGTTCATCCTTCATTTTAACGCACTTAGCCCAAGACGTTTGAAGAACACAACCTTATTTTGGGAAAAACAAGCTGCCTGGGAGGGACGAGAGGGAGAATAATGGGGCGATTAACAGGCTGTAATCTCATTGAGGGATTCAGATGGTATACGCACAGGGCAGCTCCCAGGGCCTGACCGTAGGTGAGGGGTGTGATGTGCAATGTAGGCCTGTGAGCGTGACCTGCTTAGAACTGCGCCCTGGGCCTGAGATAGGATTACGGCTGGGAAATCGATACACTGCTCTCAGCGCACACTGTCAAATGCAAGGGGCGGTTCGGTTCCATCCAGGACTTTTTGGCCGAGGCAACGACGACAGCAACAACAACAACAACTTGCATTTACACAGCGGCCCTCACGCAGAGTAGCGTCCCAGAGCGTTTCGACAGTGGCGGAGCACGACACCGAGCAAACTGAGCCTGATGAGAATAGGGGTGATTTTGTGTGTGTGTGTGTTTCTCTCTGCGTGTGCGCGGTGTAGTGTGCGTGTAATGATAAAAGCATAATTTATTTTTGTGCCAGGTCATGGTGTGCTGTGCTGTGTTGGGTTGGTGCTGTGCTGTGTTGGGTTGGGTGGTGCTGTGTTGGATTGGGTTGGGGGGTTCCGTGCTGTGTTGGGTTGGGGGGTGCTGTGCTATGCTGGGTTGGGTTGGGTTGTGCCGTACTGTGTTGGGTTGAGTTGGGTGTTGCTGTGCTGTATTGGGTTGTGTTGGGTTCGGTTGGGGGGGTGCCATGCTGTGCCGCGCGGTGCAGTACCTGTGACACTGAGCACCCCATCCTCCTTCATTTTGATGTTGAGGTAGAGCCGTCCGCGCCGCTCGGTGTGGTCGGTGCCGCACATGCTGGGAATGTTGACGACACATTTCTTGTGCACGTTTAGATCACAGGCTGCGGAGCGGAGAGGAAAGCACATCAAACTGTCAGCTCGTCTCAGAGACAGCACCACCCCTCCTCTTCAACCACGCCATGGTGGGGGTCACCCTCCTGTGTATGGTGGGGGTCACCCTCTGTCTGTCTCATCGATGAGCGATGGGGTTGTGGACGTGCCCTCAGCCCTCGAGCTGGCTGCACAAGTCAGTGAGGAGCTCGCACGCTAACGTGGGCTGGTCGCAGTGCCTGAGTCGTAGCCGCAACACGAGCCATGGCTGAGCCTATCTGCCCGCAGAGCGTTTACACTGAGCCACGGTTTATACCAGAGACACTCTCTTTATTGGGGGGCAGGCGAGTGACCTACTTACACCCACACAAACACACATGCACACACGCTCACACACGCAAACGCACTCACACCTGCAAACACGCTCACACATGCAAACACGCTCACACATGCAAACACGCGCTCACACACGCAAACACACACAAGCACAGCGCAGTTTACATCTGTTCGTAATTAATGCGCGGATCGTTTTTTGTAAAACGCTCCCATTAAAAATTCAACGGCGCCAACGAGCAAAACCTCTGAAGGCGTCTATTTGTATGTTTACGCTTCTTGTCAAACGAAGAAAGCGCAGCTAATGGAGAGGAGAGAAAACCGTCAGCAGAGCTCTGTGTTAATCCTTTCATGTGTCGCACGCATGACTTGAATTTCAAACAGGTGGTTATTTATCTCCAGCGTGGAGACACGGCGCGGTAATGAGACTGGTTAGCTTGCCATCGATGGCCTGACGGTCTGATTGGTGACTCTCTGAAGTTTAGCAGTCGCCGTGACAGGTAATTAAGCTGCGCGCCGCCCGGCTGAGAGATGCCGAGTGAAGCATCAACCGGCACCTGCGGGTCTGTATTTACAGGATCTGGTCTTGTCTCTCTCTCAAGCATCTGCCTACACGGGTTCAGACGCTGACCTAAACCGTGTGTAATCTGCTCATCAGCACCACAATCCCAGGCTCGACACTTGTAACTCAATATTTTACACCCAAATCCCATCATTGATGATACAGATCAGAGAACTCAGCCTGCTTCGGTGAAAGCAAAGCGCCTGCATATCTCTGCGGGATTTCAAAGTTATATAATGATCCCATATAATAATGATAATAATCTCTGTATTTCATACAGCGCCTTATCATGTCATTGAGACGTCTCAACTTGCTTCACAGAAATATACTGTCAAGTGAATCGACTGTGTGGACGAAACACGGTGGCCAATTGCGCACAGCAGTGGCCCACAAACAGTTGGGGATTGAGTGACCACAATTTGTTTTGAATCAGTTATTAGCAGCCGGAAAGCGACCCACCAATCGACTAACAACCGGACTTACTGCTGGGTAAACAGAGGCGTGTGGAGTAAGGGAATCGACCTCTCGCTTGCGAGGTGAGCGCACTAACCACTACGCTATGGGACTCCACGATAAACCCCCCCCTCCCGCCCCACTCCCCTCTCCGCTCCCCTGAAGCTGGTGATGGAAAGCAAACTCACTGTCGCATTTCATGCCCTGGTGAATGAGGCCGTACAGCAGAGAACCGCAGTGGTCACAGAAGGTCGGGCTTCCGTAGGTGTGGGCTTTAAATTTGTGTTTGCTTCTGGGGTCCTGGAAATACAACCAGAAAAAAAGAGACGTCATTCTTTGGTATGTACTCTGCTGTTTTGGGGGCATGGAATTCTCAGTGCAGAACGTCACAGTCTGGGACCAAAAACTACTGAGGCTCACACACACAAAGATAATTAATTGGAGGACACCCAGGGGCTGTGGAACTGTTCCCTCAGAGAGAGGAGGAGCTGGGACCAGAAGCACTGGCTGTCCCAACGGGGAGGAAATCAGGAAAATAATTGGACGCGCTCGCTTTTTTTATTAAAAGATATTCGGAATTCTTACACCCTCGGAGATCGCTGAGGGTCTGTGATATGATGTGATTCAGCCCCAGTCAGCCTGTCACCAACTCCTGTTCCATTTCACGAAACTGCTGTTTATCAGTCAGTTCGCTCCTCTCGCTTGTCCGCAAATCCCTTCATGCTCTGGCACCTCACTACCTCTCCGACCTGCTTTCTCCCCACTCCACTATACGCCTCCTCCGCTCAGCTGGCTCTGGCCTCCTGCTCGTCCCCTCTGCTCCACCATTGGCGGCCGCGCTTGTAGCAGCCACTAACCCCCCGAAGCTTTGGATCTCTCTCCCTCAATCCCTCCCCTCTGCCTCGCCCCATCCTTCCCCTCTTTTAGATCACGACCGAGGACCTTCCTCTCCGACCGTGCTTACGGCCGATTCCTCCTTCCTTCCCCCCGCGGCTGGGCATTAGACCTCCACTGCCATGCGTGAAGGACCCTTTATGGGGCCGACAGTTACTGTGACGCCTGAAATCCCATCAGGTCTGAGCTGGGCTGGGAATTTTCGGACAAAGTCCATTAAGCTGTTGAAATCACAAAGCAATTTTGAGAATGATGAGCTTTACCCGAGCTAATGACCATTCGAACCGGATCAGATCACGCTCGGTGAGTAATCCAGTTTCCATTAAATTGAAGAGCACAAGTCAAGCATCGAGGCTGATGCACTGAGCTGAGCCGGTGAGCTAATATTGTGAGGATTTGAAAGTGATTGCGCCCGGGGGAGGGGAGAGAGAGAGAGAGAGAGAGAGAGAGAGGTTGGAGGAGTGGGGGGGGGGGGAGGAAGGTAATGGGGGGGGAAAGGATTTGAGTTGCTCTGGTAACGAGTTAGCTGGCCCTAGCCATCTCACCAGTTGGTCTTATTATTTCCCTGGTTCTGCAGAGCTAAGTAAAAATGTTAATGATTTCTCCAACAGAAGGTCTCCAGGCCGCTGCAGCTGGAAGCTTCAGATAGTAATAATAATAACCCTTGCACTTGATATGATATAGGCACTTATGATATAGTGCCTTATCACGTCGTTGAGACGTCTCAAAGCGCTTCAGGGGATATATTGTAGTGTGGAGTGACTGTGTATTTTGTGGGCGAAATGTGGCAACCAATTGTACACGACAGTGTCCCACATACAGTCATGGATTGAGTGCATTTTATTTTGAGGAGGGTTTATTACTGCCGGAAAGTGAGTCACCAATTCACTAATAACTGGGTTCCTATTTACTGTTGGGTAAACAGAGGTGTGTGTGTGTGTGCAGTAAGGAAACTTAACTAAGGTTTTGCCCCACCCGGGAATCAACCCCAGGCGCTTCTCGCTTGCGAGGCGAGCGCTCTGAACCAATATGCTACAGGACCCCCACCAACGTGTTCATTTCATGGTTCTGGTGACATCTGACATGACATTCAAGCCTCACGACTGAATTACTGCCTCGAACTCCCTGCCTGAAGCCCGTTACCTGACATTTTCAGGTAATTAATAAACACACACACCGAGCTACTGTTAGCACTAAATAATTAGCAGGATTTAATGGGCCCGAGTTGGCATGGCAACACCTCCTTATTGTCTTTGAATGCAGACGGAATGCAAAGGTGGGGATGAGGGAGGGAGTGAGGGTCTCCTGTCAGCCCGTCCCGTTCCAGGTTTCTGTCGGGATCACTCGGATTGCGATCGATGGTTCCCCGAGTAAAGAATTCTTGGTCTCGGCTCAGGGCCTGGAGAAGCGGGAAAGCCAACAGCTTGGGGCTATTCCTGAACGGCGTCAGAAGGTCGAGGGATCAAGCCCTAACAACAGTCTCGGTTGTCACTCCAGCGCAGTGGAGTTTTCAGTACAGAACTGGATGAGCGTTGGGTTTTGGCACTGCCGTCCTTCGGATGAGACTGAAAGTGGGAAGTTTCTTCCAATGCCTTGGCCAACAATCCCCAGATTGCACCACCACGCTGTGCTCCAATGGGCTGTTGCGTTCACCTACAACTTACTCGATGCAGGTCCAGTTACTATAATAATACTGATAAGCCACCGTGTTCCTGATCTAATGACCTATCCTGATACTACACCTGAGTCGAGCAGCAGCAACAACAACAACTTGCATTTATACAGCGTGGGGCAATGTCTCGGAGTGCTTTAGCAGTGGCGGAACCTGACACTGAGCTGGGAGGGAGGGAGGTGGCCGTAAGCATGGTCGAAGAGGAAAGTCTTCAGACGTGGTCTAAAAGAGGGGGAGGAAGGGACAAGGCGGAGGGGAGGGATTGGGTGAGAGCTCCAGGTCTTCGGCGCGGCAGTGGCTGAAAAGTGCGACCGCCAATAGTGGAGCGGAGGGGACGAGGGATGAATAGGAGGCCAGAGCCAGCCGAGCAGCAAGTGCTCCTGAGGCTGTTGTCACTCTCTCTCTGTGCTTACTTAATTTCAAGTGTGTTGATGAGGCTCGGGAAGAGGTCATGAATAAACTATCAAAAGGAGGGCAGCCAAAGCGGACTTCAAACCAGGGCATGGAGGGGGTAGAGCTAGCGAGCGACAGAGAGGGAGAGAGAGCAAGAGAGATGCTAATCTTCCAAGCAACAAACTCGGGAACCATTCATTAGAAACCGTTTGTAATATTCGTCAAAGGTTATAAATGATACATCAGCTGCCAGAAGCTACAGTCAGTAATTCCCAGAGCAACGTGGTGAATGATGGGCTTTAATAATAATAATTATAATCCTTGCATTTGATATAGCGCCTTATCACATCGTCGAGAAGTCTCAAAGCACTTCACAGTCATACTGTAAAGTGTAATGACTGTGTATTTTGTGGGTGAAAGGCGGCAGCCAATTGCGCACAGCAGCGTCCCACAAACAGTCGTGGATTAAGTGACCATATTTTATTATTATTTTATTATTTTTTTTGGGGGGGGGATATAAGAATACATATATATACCATGATACAAAAAGCCAGATCGTCGAGAAACACAGCAGGCAGGTGCTCAAGTCGGTCAGACTTTTGCCTACAAATACACAATCACTACATTTGCCAGCAATTCCCTGTGAAGTGTTTTGAGACACTGACGCTATAGAGCCTATCAAGGACTGCAGTTCAGTGACCCAACTGTGCAGGGATCTGCCCTGCGCTGGGTTTTAGTGACTCGTTGAAGCTTGAGGTAACAGAGGACGGGATTGAGTGAAGGTGCAGTTTACAGCGAAGTGTTGCCAGGTTAATCAGACAAGAGCAGAACAGTTGTTAAACACATGGCTCTTTGTACTATATGAGTGAATTATTTAGTGCAGTTAGCGAAAATTCATGCAGCACTTATGAATAATACACAAGTGTAAGAAATATTCACTCAAAACAAACCAGTAATGTGGGGAGTCTGGGGGAAGGGGGGAGGGGAGGGTCACTGGAGGCACCGACAGTATTCGCAACCCATTTCAGTCAATTAAACATCACAAATCGCTGCCAAACGGGCATCAGAAACACAGCAGTGGGGGGTCCAACTGCCCCCAGCATCAGTTACAGTGAAACTGCCTGTCCTTACTACCTCCAACCCCCCCTCTCCGCTCCCTCTGTCAAAGGGTGGCAGCCCGTGTGAGGAGAGTGCTCACAAAATCCAGTCACTACACTTTACAGTATATTCTGAGAAGCGCTCTGAGACGTCTCGCCGAAATGATAAGGCGCTGTATCAAGTGGAAGGATTATTAATCTTATTATTCTGCCCAGCCGAGAGTTGAGATGAAGCGATGGGGATTCTTTGACTGTTCGCACTTCCCGTCCTCCGCAGTGCAACAACCACCGCCGTCCCTGAGCAATTAACGAGGTGGTTCCATTTTTAAAGCAAGGCTGCAAAAACACTTCAGGACGGCGAGATGGCAAATGTTAGCGAGAGAGCAGATGTTGTAAATCAACAGAGGTACGTGTTCAGCACATTCTGTGAGTCAATAATATCCATCTCCTGGCCTCCCAGCCCACGACATTCCTAGCAGTGAACCCTCTCCCTCAGCACGGACTGACGAGAAGCCAGCATCACAACGGGCGACGGCAGAGGCTCAGACACCGGCCCTTCACCTCGAGGATCTGGAGTAGAGTCCTGTAGTGCAGTGGTTAGCGCGTTCGCCTCACAAACGATAGCTCCTGGGTTCCACTCCACATGCCTCTGTTTACACAGCCGTAAGTAGGAACCCAGTTGTTGATCGATTGGCGGATGGCTTTCTGGGGATCATAATCCCACCCCAACTCCCCAAGAAATGGTATTTTGGTCACTCAATCCATGACTGTTTGTGGGACACTGCTGTGTGCAATTGGCTGCCACGTTTTGCCCACACAATACACAGCCAATCCATTTTTACAATATATTCCAAGAAGCCCTTTGAGACGTCTCAACGATGTGACAAAGTCCTGTATCAAATGCAAGGATTATTGATGATCATTAAATGCTTCTCTCTGTTGGCTGCAAAAGTCTGAGCCTTGAAAGGTTTAGGATAATGTGAATGTGAGACACAGAGAGACAGTCACAGGGCAGTGCGTGTGAGAAACAGGAAATGTGACTTGATCATGGCGAAACATCTCAAAGCGCTTCAGTGTAATTACTGTCAAGCAACAATTACGACTGGAGGCAGAGGTGGAGGCCATTTTGACCGCAGCCAGGTCCCACAGGCAACCCGAGGTGAGCGATTCAGTTTATCTGGAGAACTGTCGACCAGGATACAGCCTGAAACTCCCTCCTTCCTGCCATGGGATCTTTTAGTGTC